AATGTTTGTGAGTTATTTCTGTTTTTGCAAGCCAAGGAGAAACAGGGACAGAGGGTTCGCTGTCCTCGCTGTATGGTATTGTTTCTACACAGGTAGCACAGGTGTGGATTTCTAGTTCCAACAGCCTACGGCACCTACTGTTATCAAAGCCCTCATATTTGAAATTCCTTTATGTGGATGGTGTTTTGCCTGCATGTGTGTTTGTGTATCACATGGATGCCTGGTGGCCACGGAGGCTGGAAGAGAGCACTGAAGCTATAGATGTGGGTGCTGGGGTCCCGCCGAGGTCCTCTGGGAAAGCAGCTTGTGCCACGTCTCTAGCCCCAGAAGTCAGGATTCTAAGTGTGAAGAATGGAAACACACCAGCAAATGTGGGGTGTGGTCAAGTCAGGGGTGGGGCTAAGTTGGCTGGCCCCTGCCGTCACAGAACTTGTAGCCTAGAAGAAGCAGAGGTAGTGACTAGTAGGTCAGTGGAGTATAGATTAAAGTCTGGGAGACTCAGTGTGACACACACGGTAGGCAGCTTTGGGGGAGACAGTCTGCAGCAGAGTATGCCTCTCGGAGTGGCCCGAGGAACACCTTTGCAACTTGGTGAAGGGAACAGCAGGGCCTGCCTTCCCTATCCCCTGAGGGTTGGTTGAACAGGTGATGGGGAAGGGGAGAGGATTCCAGTCAGGGACACAGGGACACGCACCTCAGGGAGCCAGCAGGGCAGGAAAGCAGCAGATAGCAACCCAAGGAGCAGTATGCTGGAAGAAAAGCTTGCACATTATTAAGGAACACTTTGCTAATTCATGTTGGCGCTGGGCATCCCCTGTGTTGGTTCTTCCTGTCAGCTTTTAAAGTTCCCTGACGGTGCACTTGACTTCATACTGCCCCTGTGAAGTGGCTAGATGTGGTAATAGTCTCCTTTATCACAAGAAGGAAATAGTCCTAAGAGGTTGAATTCTCTCCAAGATTACTGAGCAGGTCCTGAGCAAAACCACCCTAGAGAAGCTGGGATCTTTTGGCTCCCCTCTTCAGTGTCCAGCCTCTGTGACCCCCACTTCCTGGTAAGCCTTTATGAAAACAGCGCCATTATAAAAATTGCTGTCCTGCCGAAACTTGATACTGAACGGAGCACTGCAGAAAGGAGCCTCTGGTCTCGGTGGCAGGGGTTTCTTCTGTTCATTTCCTTTTAGCTTAGTGAAGCAAAGTTCAGAAGACCTTTGGAAATGCTCTTCTTTTTGATGTCAATACCGAGTGTTGTTCTCGGAGGCGAGAGATCAGAACGCGGCCAGAATTCTGCTTTTCTTTCTTTCTTTTTGGTCTGAAGCACTTGCATGGGGTAGCAGTGAGAGTGAAATGTGAACCCCCAAAATCGTTTTGCTGCTTTAGAAGGAAATGAAGAAACACTGCACCTTATCCAATGGTCTCCCGGTGTGTTGTCTCAGGCACAGGCAGCCTTTGGAAAGCCAGTTTGACAGGATCTTGAAGCTTCTTGGCTCAGCCGCTTCCAGAGCTTTTGTGCAGACTCGTGTGTCAGCCAGTTTTCGTCTGCCTGTTGTAGAAACCGCCTACCACAGTGGTTGATAGGAGAATGAAATTGGATAGTGTACACCATTCCCTGAGACACTTTAATTGATCTTAAGTTTTTTTGAAATAGGGATGTGTATCTTGACTGATGGACACATCTACTGGACTGATTTCTCCATGCCAAGCCTAGTGATCAATTTTATAATCAGTGGCATCAATTTGAGGAAATTATAGTATGTTTAAGAGTGTAATACAGTGCCAGAGTATAATATGCCTTCAGTAAGTAGCTGCTCTATTCTCTGCTTAATGGACGGGGCTATTGTTGGGTTAAGGCTGTGCCCCAGTAGGGAAGGAAGGCTGCCTGAACGTTGGTCTCTGTGTAGAATCCACGAGGGAAGTGACAGCAGAGGTGCAGGGTGGTTGTTGACCTGCTCTAGGGAGCATAGACACAGAGTGCGGAGACAGCGTGAGAGTTGGGAGTTCCTGATCAGCAATCATTGGTTTATTATTATCTTGTGTTCCATAAGAATTTTTTTTTTTTTTTTGAATCTGCCATTGAGCCTCATTCGCCTAGCCAGGACTGACAGTTCATTCTTTGGCAAGAGCTACCAGGAGAGCCTGGTTCTGCTCAGCAGGAATGACAGTGCAGAGCCTGAGCCTGGCGGGGGGAATGTGGATTTTAAGAGCCTGATTAGCACACCGGTGTGCTCAGAATCCCCTCCCTTTTTGGGAAGTTTCCTTTCGGTGGCAGACTTTGAGGTGCCAAGCTGTACTTTATTACACGGGGCAGCCTGTCCAGTTCTCTGACTCGGTTCTTATTTGGAGGGAGAGAGGAGCCAGAGAGACTTGAGCTACACTGACTCTCTTGTAGCTTCTTTTATTCACATAATTATTTATTATTTAGACGTGTGTGCATTGTGTGCATGTGTGCATATGGCATGGCACACATGTGGAGGTCGGAAGAAAACGGGCGGGACTGGTTCTCTCTACCATGTGGCTTGTGGGCATTGAAGTCAGATCATCAGACTTGTACCTTTGCCCGCTGAGCCATCTCATCAGCCCTTTCTCGTAAATATTGGTTCTGAGCTAGTGTGGTGCATGGGGGAGTGCGAGGGAGAAAGGGCGCACGCACTGACTGTCCCTGCAGCAGTTCATAGTGTGTGGGGGCGGGGGATGGGGAGAGAACAACGGGAATCAAATGCTATCCCTGGGAAAGCAGAATAAGAGATTGGGGAGGGGGCTTCTTTTAGCGATTTAAGTACTTTGTAGTCATGAAATAGAAAAATGAAATGAAATGAAATTTATGCCCTGGCAGTACATGCATGGGCAGCTTGTATATGGAGGTTCTGTTGAACTGTCCATATTGGGTTTTATTCTCCAAGTTGAGGACAACTGACCAGGTCTCTTCCTCAAGAGATTTTATTACAGATGGTTGTGAGCCACCATGTGGTTGTTGGGAACTGAACTCAGGACCTTTGGAAGAGCAGGCAGTGCTCTTAACTGCTGAGCCATCTCTGCAGCCCCCAGGCATGAAATTATCTCAGCGGAAAGTGCTTCCCACCTCTTTCTGGTTCCGGAACAAATGGGCAAGCCCTTTTGCTGTTCCTCATCATAGCGTGCTTTTCCATTTAACTAATTGCCAGCCACAAATTCCCACTTTCATCCCTGCCCCAGGCTGGGGGAGGAGACAGTTGACTCTTTCTAATAGTGGCTGTCAATCATTGAAATCAGCATATAGTCATAGTGTGTGTGCCCAGGTAAAAACACTGTGGGTTTTTTTTTTTTATGTGACATTTATGCTAGAATGTGGCACTATCATTTTTGGTCCAGATTTTTAACATCTTTTGATGGTTTTTGGAAACTGTGTTACTTTTGACGGGTGGAATGTCTGGTAGTTGGATGGGGTAGGGTTTCCTTAACTTTCTGTGGTCATATCTGCATATCTGTGAACTTCCTGGCCATGCCTCAGAAATAACAAGCTTCAAAAATGCACACAGAATCACCATCGGGGTATTTACTTGTTTTGAACATGGACCAAGGCAGATCACATTGCATTTGAATTTTGGCATGACGGTTAGACTCAATTACAGCCTGGTGCAAAAGTTTGTACTTTTTTTTTTTTAATTTTTCCTAAATTAGGCCAAGACCAAATGCTGGATTAATAAACCTCAATTGTGAATTAGCAACCAGTATTATAGTATAATACACCTTTAAATCGTTGCTGAGTCCAAGGGAAGACTGCTTTGCATCTGTCTGTTTCTGTGAGGTGGTAAACTAACTGGAGCATCACCTGTGTGACGTGGGGGTGGCAGAGACACGGAGGGCGTGGGACATTGTGGCGGTGCTGTGTGCACGATGGCTCAGCCACTGAAAACTGCAGATTTGTGGGCTGTGTACCATGTTTCTAATGTAGAAAAATTGCTTTAGACGTCACCTTTTTTGTTTTCTTTGTACTTAAGGTTTCTCCAGCACTGCCTGTGATGGCGGTCCTTGTTTCTGTTTAGCGAGAGATGAAGTGCAAGCATGCGTAGCCGGTCTCGGTTCCCAGTCAGTTATGTCCTCACCCCTGTGTTGTCCTCTGTGTACAAATGTGTGTGAGCATGTGTCTGCAGAGTAACCTTCTGATGGAAGTGAGATAAGACTCAATTTTTATTGAAAATGAGTTTTTTAGGGGCTGGAGAGATTGCTGAGCAGTTATGAGTTTATAGGTGTCTTCCAGAGGACCCGCGTTCAATTCCCAGTGCCTGTGACATGCAGCTTACAACCTTGTATAACTCAAGCTCTAGGGGTTCTGACATCCTCCTGGCTTTTGGGGATTACTCACATGTCTGTCTGTCTGTCTGTCTGTCTCTCTCTCTCTCTCTCTCTCTCTCTCTCACACACACACACACACACATACACATCTTTAAACATAAGATGAGTTTTAGAAAACTACACTGAAGAGCTATGAGTGACTGGCACTACAGTGGTTCCAGTTGTGCTCAGACGACCTCCGTGTCTATGTTCTTAGCTTATCCTTGGATGTTGTTGTAAGTTAGTCAGCTGTGCTAGCTGATTTCATCTGTTGTCTCCATTTCTGTTACACCTGTTGCCCACTTAGATTCACTAACATGTTCCTCTCTCTTCCCTCTCATCAACCCTTCCATCACCCCTCTCCTCCTCTTTTTTCCCCTCCCCTCCTTCCTTCTTTAGCAGGGCAAGTGTCCCCAGCTCTCACTCTGTTTAGACACATTGTCCACAGTTAGCCTCAACCTAACGGTCACATTTAGTTTGGTGTGGGTGTGGGTGTGCCTCCAACTTCCTGCTCACTCTTCCTCTGATGAAGTGGTTTGACTCTGTCTTGTACAGTGCAGTTACTAGTGCTCCATTGTGAAGGGCAGGTCCTGAAGTGAGCCTACCTGCGCGAATCCACACCTGCACCCACCATTGTCATCACTTCCCTGTTGAGCCTTTTACATTGAGCTTTTCCTTCATTTCCTTTGCAGCAGACGTTCTCCAATGAAGCTCACTGCGTTGAAGAGATTCTGAAGGTAAGTCCATAATTCCCGCGCATCATTTGCCGACACCCTGAAGCAAGCAGACAGGCGCTCATGTGAGCGCTCTTTCGTGAGCAGTGCCGTTCCGACATGGAGCACGATCCCACCTCTACCAGATTCTACTTGCTAAGATGACGTTTACAACGGCAAGAATTTGGAGCAGAGTTGTACAAGTCTCTCAAGTTTTCTATTTGCCCATAGCGACCGAGGATTGGTGCTCATGTCCCACAGAAGAAAAAACTTATGTGGGTGTAGCATAGGAGACACCAGGTTTAAACCCCATATCCTGATTCTGGGTTTTTATACAGTGAAACCTGGTGTTCATGGCCTCTTTAATGAGATCTCGAAACTTGAAAAACTGGAGCCAAGTATGGCAGTGTGTGCTTTTATTCCTAGCACTCCACGGCAGAGAAGACAGGTGATCTCTGTAAATTTCAAGGTTCCCTGGTGAGATCCTGTGTGTTTCTGTCATGTGTGTGTGTGCGCGCGCGCGTGCGTGCGAACACGGTTTGGTGGGGGTTTGGGGGAGAGAAGAGAAGGAGAGAGGGAGATGAATGGCCATATCTTTTTGTTACTTGGTTTTTCCTTGCTTCCTGTGAGTCCTGTAGTGTATCGCTGTATGTATAACCTCTCTTGTTAATGCGCTCTCCTGTATACACTGCACACTCGCTCTGGTTTTCTTGCACTAGAATGATGTATTCCTTAAAAACAAAAATCTTAGTATATTCTTTTGAACTACAAACTTTCTTTTGTCAAGTCAGAGAACTGTGTAAACTATCATGTGACTTACCTTTGCTCGAATTCCTAGGAATTCAGAACTTATTTTATTGCTTGTATATAGTAATTGTGGCTACTGGGGGCCTGTGTGTTTCTTTCTTACTCTTCTAATTTGCTTCTGTTGGTCTTAATATTCTTGTGTCTTTTATTATAAGGTTTGATTTATTTTGAAGTTCTAAGTCTATGGACTTTATTTTCTACTGTTTATTTTTGCCTCTAAAATACATATTTACCCCTAAATTTACTTTTACCCTCTTCATTGTGAAAATACTAAGCAATGCTGTTGTTTGCAGCCAGTAAATAAGGTCATTGGTTCGTTTGTTCATTCTTTCTTTTTTGGTAAATTTTTATTTATTTATTTATCTATCTTTGCAGAAAGTATTTGGGCGGCTATGTGAACGGTGCTTGCATCATTTCTGTGTGCACTCAGCATTCCTTCTGTAGCTGGGGCTTTTCGGTCCTTCTGCTGAGCCGCACTTTGCAATGCTAAAGGCTGATGTTCTTGCCAACGAGCAATGACAGTGAATATTTAGCTAATTACCTCGCTCAGGTTTTTGTGTCACCTTTTACTTTTCTGGGTGCTAAAATACTCCATATATAAACTCAAAAAAATAGTGTCTTAGTTATAGATTACCATTTAGCATTTTCTCTGAAGCAATGTGTAGTGGCTTTTTAATTGTAATTTAATAAATAAAGCTTTCCTGACGATCTGAGAGTAAAGCAGCTCCACCGGGTCAGCCTTACGTACAGACCAGGTAATGGTAACACACATTTAATCCTAGTATCCACCATACACGTACCTTTAATCTTCATAGCCACACTAGTTGCTATAGAAACCAGGCAGCACACACCTTTAACCTCAGTCCTAGAGAGGATTATAAAACGGGAGGAGACAGCTCTCACGCACAGCCTGATTCTGAGATTCCTGGAGGCAGGATTGCCATTTCAGACTGAGGTCAAGGTGAGAGTCATTGGCTGGCTGCTTTGCTTTTTGTGTCTTCAGGTTGAGCCTCAGTTTCTCTCTGAGCTTTGTTCTGTATTCACCCAACCAACGTTGACGGGCTGGGACGGTGACCCTCTATGGGCAGTGCTTCTTGTAGGTTTTTGTTTTAGTTTTTCAAGACAGGATTTCTCTGTGTAGCCATAACTGTCCCAGAACTCACTCTGTAGACCAGGGAAAGCTGGCCTCCAAAGCACAGTCATGTGTCTCTGCCTCCCTAGTGCTGGGATTAAAGACATGCACCACTACCACCCAGCTTTCTTGTAGGTTTTGATATTTGTTAGTATAAGACAAACATATCCTCTCTTTAGGGAGGATAGTATTGGGCACTAATGAAAACATCCACCCTCCCTTCCTTCTCCCCACAGTGCTACTGTAATACACTTAGATATACTGGGGATGCTTGAGCAAAACATGCAAGCATTTTTCCCATTTGGAAGTCAAAAGTGGTAATCTAAAGAATGCCCACAGCTGAAGAGGCATGGGCCTTTTCACAGAGAAAAAAAAAAACACAGCTCTATCCTTTCTGAGGTTGGCTTCCTTATGGTCGAAGGAGGGTTCTGAGCTAGCAGGGGACCCCAGTTGTGATCCAATGTCCTGCTCAAAGTTCAGCAATCTATCCAGATGGCCAGGAATCCACGGACAGTTCCCTAAGAGTGAAAACCAACCGTAGATGATGGTGTTGTCTGGTGTCAGTTCTCACTGGTTCTGTAGAGCCATGTTTTAGGCTGCAAGTGTTCTTTCTGATGAAGGGGAAGCAGGGTACGCAGGGCACTCCCTGGGATCTGCAGCCAGAGTCAGCCGGTTAGTGGTATAGTTCTGGGGCCCATGGAAGAGAATGCCTAGGCATCACCTCAGCCTTCTGGTGTTGGTTTCCGATGGAGCAGCATCATCCCCTGCTTCTTCTTCATTTATTTGCTATGCAGACGGGTTTTTAGATATCATTGCTTCCATGGGGATCAAGGTAGGAAAGGTGAAGTTACAATGCAGTGATGGGGGCAAGGACAGACTTGCAGGAAGTGGGTGGGGTTAATAGTGGGGTGGGAAGTCTTAAGGTTAGACAAGTGTGCGTTTTAGAGAAACAGGTGGATCTGGACTCAAATGAGCAAGGAGGAGAGACAGGACTGCAGCTGTGGGGCCGGCAGGGCTAAGGGCTGGTGTGGAGTGAAGTCTGAGCCTCTAGGTGACCTGTGCAACTTTCTCTTTGGAATGGCCTCAATTTGCCTAATGCCTAAGGCGTTTAAGGAAGTGTGGAAATTCTTTTAGACTGGGAGCTTAGGGTCGGCCTGAGTTTCTGTGCCTGACCGTTGCCTGATTGCTCCGGGTGCTGCCTTAGGCTGTTAGTAATTGTTAGTCAAAGGTCACAGGTGTCATCACAAGGCCTGTAAGTTGCTGGAAAAGTTAGGAGGCTGTTTGGAAGCCTTTCCGCTCTTCAGTGACCTCCACACCTAGAGTGTGCTGGCTGAGCAATTGAGCAAAGAGCTGACTGGGTGCAGGATTGAAACCTTGGAAAGCTGTTCATTTGAGTTAAATGCAGGGCAGCAGCTGATGTGGGGTGCACACGCTAATCTCAGCACCCAGGAGGCTGAGGCAGGAGGTCTCTACACAGAGAGTCCCTCCTCAAAGTTGGGCTGTTTCTACTTACTGTTTTTTTGTTTGTTTGTTTGTTTGTTTGTTTGTTTTGACTCCACGTCCCCAGTCCCCAAGCACTTACTTAAATTGCCCTCACAAAATAAGTGGCCAGAGCTTATTTTTTAGTGAAAACTGATGCCTGGAATTCAGGCCCCTCTTGCTTGCTGACATAGATCAAGTTAGGGCAAAGCAGACAGCCTGTAACTGATAATCAAAGCCTGCACCATGGGCTAGAGAGATGGCTTAGTGGTTAAGAGCAGAATGCCTTCCCAGAAATACATAGTAAGCAAGCAAGCAAGGAAACAAACAAACAAATCTCGCATCAGTAATATTGCTTACAACACACAGGGTCTCTCATTCTCCCCGGTTGCTGTGACATTCACAGGGGCAGTAGGGAAGGGCCAGGGAGATACCACGCGTGCCTGTTCACACGCGACCTTCATTTGTTAAGAAGCAGGATGATGTCACTCAAACAGGATGGAGTGTGGTGCATTGTGACTGGCACCTGCCTCTGGGGGAGAGTTGTTAAGTCCCCCTTTGTAGCCAAGTGTGAACCTGGGACCGGGCCCTTTGTAGGCAGGTGTGAACACATGAAATCTAGGGAGTCAGAGGAGCCTGTTACCTCTCCATCTTTGGTCCCTCTATACTTTGGTTGGGTCATTTAGGTCAGTTTATTTTTTTATATTTGAAAAAAACAAGACAAAACATGAGTTTCTTCATTTTGAAACACTTGTCTAACACCATTTAGCCCTCTCAAGGAGAGTGTGTGCACGCGCACATGCATGTGTGCGCACACAGATGTATGTTCATGATTATAAAGAGGTATAGTCTGCCTTAACTCTTTCCCCTTAAAGTGTTTTTTGTTTGTTTTTTTGTTGTGTGTGTGTGTGTGTGTGTGGTTCTCTGTGTAGCCTGACTGTCCTCTGTATACCAGCCTGGCCTTGAGCTCACAGATCCACCTGCCTCTCTTTGCCTCCTGAGTGCTGGGATCAAAGGCGTGCACCGCCACCTCCCTGACCCCTTGAGTTTTTGAGCAAAGCAACATAAATACAATGGTGCTGACAAGTTTATTCATTTGTTAAGTCCTAGAAATCTTGCTTTTAACCGAGAAAATAGGGACTAAGGATGAAAATTTTGCTCTGAGAAAGTAAAGCTCCCTGCTTCTGGCAATCTGCTAGCTGTGCCAGGGAAGTGTCAAATCTATTAGAACCCTCCCAGTGAAGCCAGGGGCCTGTATGACTTGTTTGTTTAAGTCAGGCAGGAAAGGTCTTCCTTTGAACCTCAATAATTCCCGGAAGTGCAGTGAAGACGCTGGGTGGAAGAATGTGCTGAGCCCCGTGGCCTTTCCCAGCCCCACCTGCCCTGCTCCACCAGCCGCTGCCAGGGCTCAGGGCTGCCCATGCGTGGCAGCACCTACTGATGCTCTCGTGTACCGCGATGTTCAGTGCTGGGCCCATTCAGTCCTTGATCTGCCTTTTGTCAGTTTTGTCTGTTCAGTGTTCACTGTAGCTCGGTGCAGGTGTTGTTCTACACGGGATGAGCTGTCCCATGAGACTGCACTGTCTGTGGATCACCCACCCGTCCGCATTTGAAGTTCTGAACCAACTGGCGATGGATGTCCACTTACGCTTGCCTTTTCTTTTCCCAAATTTTTTTCTAGGAAATGACCCATTCGTGGCCACCTCCTCTGACAGCCATACACACACCCAGTACCGCCGAGCCCTCCAGATTTCCTTTCCCTACAAAGGTAATGAATTCCATCAATCACAACAGGCACAGTGTGCCCAGCATTGGGAGGTCGGGGTGTGGGACAGACACATTGTCCCCAGCACTGAGAGGTCGGGGTGTAGGACAGACACAGCATCCCCAGCACTGAGAGGTCGGGGTGTAGGACAGACACAGCATCCCCAGCACTGAGAGGTCGGGGTGTAGGACAGACACAGCATCCCCAGCACTGAGAGGTCGGGGTGTAGGACAGACACAGCATCCCCAGCACTGAGAGGTCGAGGTGTAGGACAGACACAGCATCCCCAGCAATGAGAGGTTGGGGTGTGGGACAGACCCAGCATCCCCAGATGTGGAGGTCGGGGTGTAGGACAGACCCAGCATCCCCAGATGTGGAGGTCGGGGTGTGGGACAGACCCAGCATCCCCAGATGTGGAAGTCGGGGTGTGGGACAGACCCAGCATCCCCAGATGTGGAAGTCGGGGTGTGGGACAGATCCAGCATCCCCAGATGTGGAGGTCGGGGTGTAGGACAGACCCGTGTCCACACGAGTGAGAAGTCCGAGACGCTGCTGTGAGAGTCTTGTTAACTGGAATCTTTGGAGACTGGGCTAAAGGTCACAATTTAGCCTTTACAGAACTCTAGTAGGCTAGTTCAGAACTCTAGAACTCTAGTTCTCCATCTCATGTTGGTAAGAAGGTCTTAGGATTGTACAAAGCTTTTTTAGATCTTACAGCATTCAGAACTTCTCAATCCAGTGTCTCACTTGAGAATTTTTCTTGTAGAGATGGAAAAACCGGGAGAGGGAAATGAACTGAGGTTGATTGGCTACTGCTAGTTTGGGTTTCCAGGCTCAGTTATCTGTGTGAATATACACGAGCAAGGCTCTCAGGTCTCCGAGTTCCTAAACTATCTGTGTGAATATACACGAGCAAAGCTCTCATGTCTCATAGTTCCTAAACTTCCTTTACACTGACACCAATCCTGGTTGCCATAACAAATGAAGGAGACACTGACCTATTTTTAAGCGGTGTCTTGACACAGCCATTATTTTCTTTCTTTTACTTTAAGAAATGTAATTTAATTTCAAGTATATTGCTATTTTGCTTGCATGTATGACTGTGCACCCCATGTTTGCAGTGTCCACAGAGGCCAGAAGAGGGCTATGTCTCCTGGCACTGGTGTTTTAGATTGTTGGTGTTTGGTCTCTGGAAGAGCAGGAAGTGCTCCTGACCCCTCAGCTATCTCTCTGTCATCAGCGTATACTTTTAAATAACCTTCAGGTGTATCCCAAACACTGCATTCTGTCTGGTCCCATAACATACATTCATATTTATAGGCAATCCTTCCAGGATACTGTTTTCAGAAGTTATACCTGCCAAAGCCCAAATTTACTGTTGTCATTCTTCCCAGTTTATGACTATACTGTTGTAAGCAGAAGGTCCATTAGTAATGGTTTTAAACTAAAGCCTTACACTATGCAGATACAGTTGCTTAACACCGAAGGAAAAGTGAATTCGTAGAAAGTGAGGAAAGCGATTGCATGCAGAAGTCAGATCTTTCCATCTTGTCTGTTTGGTGCTCTGAGTCTTCAGTGAAGTGTAGGAGGTGAATGCCGTCCACCATCACTTCATCTCTCCATATCTGAGTTTCATGAAGCTGTCGTTTGTGTAAACCTGAATGGTTTGCCCTGTATAGGCCCCACATGTCTAACGATGAACTTCATTTAACTTCTCTTTCTAGGATCCTCTGCACATCAGTTCTGCAGCCCAAAGCCAAAGTAAGTGAATATCTGGAGTTGAGTATTATGCTATAAAACAAAGCATGCTTTTTTTTTTTAAAGTAAATGTTAACAGATTTAATGATGAAACTTTTGTAACAAATGCCCACAAGAGAATAGGAAAGAAAGCAAGCGCAGGTCATTTCTTTTCTGTAGGTACCATTTGATGTAAGCGGTTTTCATGAAATTCTAAACAGATACAAGTTAGTATGGCATGACCCATAGTTCTGTTGTTGTTGCTTTGCTTTTTGAGCCAGGTTTCTCTGTGTAGCCCTGGCTGTCCTGGAGCTAGCTCTAGACCAGGCTGGCCTGGACTCAGAGATCTGCCTGTCTCTGCTGGATTAAAGGTGTGTGCCACTACATCTGCTGACATGTTACGTTGAGTGCAGCTCAGTGTTCCTCTGTCTGCATCTGAGGGATTCTTGGTCCCTTTCTCAAGGGCTGTAAATTCTGTACAGCCTTGGAAACTGTCGGGATCCAGCCTTCTTCAGCAGTAACCACTCGCAGTGAGGTGTCCCCCCGTCCTGATGTTTTATTTGCATGCCAAGCCTTCCCAGGGCCTCGGGGATATTTGTAATCATTCAGTTCGTCAGGACAAGTTAAGGGGAAGAGACAGTGACCCAAGTGACGATGCCAGGCAGTGAATGATGGCTAATGAATGAAGTATTAGTCTGCGATAGAAGACCTCCACAGCAGGGTCTGTGCTGTGTGCGTGAGGCTTCGGGGAGGGGAGTTTAATAAATGCCCACAGAGGTGTGTGCATTAAATCACCCCCTACTTCCTCTTTTCCTCCTTTTTTTTTCTTGCTTGAATTTCTAAGATTTGAAGCTAGGGAAGAGATGAGAAGAGCCAGAAGCCGAGTAGCGCCCTCTAGACGAGGTGTTGAATGGGTTGCAGTCTGAGATCATGCCTTTTCTGGTACTCTTTCTGTCAGACAACTTTGACTGGGCCAGAGCCTCAGCCTTTTCCTTTTTCCAAGCACACACATGAAACTTGACCCCCTTTGCTGTCTGATGCTGTTCTCTGTCAGAAAGATGGAATGCTGTCTTTTTTTTTTTATTTATTTATTAAGGATTTCTGCCTCCTCCCCGCAACCGCTTCCCATTTCCCTCACCCTCTCCCGATCAAGTCCCCCTCCCTCATCTGCTCGAAGAGCAATCAGGGTTCCCTGACCTGTGGGAAGTCCAAGGGCCGCCCACCTCTATCCAGGTCTCGTAAGGTGAGCATCCAAACTGCCTAGGCTCCACCAAAGCCAGTACGTGCAGTAGGATCAAAAACCCACTGCGATTGTTCTTGAGAGGACATTGAGCTTATAATTCATGTTCCTAGAGAAGCTAAATAACAACGCATGGAATGCCGTCTTATAAAGAAGTCAGAACCACTGGGCAATGATGGCGCACGCCTTTGATCCCAGCACTTGGGAGGCAGAGGTGGGCGGATCTCTGAGTTCGAGGTCAGCCTGGTCTGCAGAGTGAGTTCCAAGACAGTCAGGGCTGCACAGAGAAACCCTGTCACGAAAAACGAAAAGAGAAGTCAGAACCACACGGCCTCTCCACACCATGCCCTGATTATGTGGCCACAGTGTTGTGTAAGTTGCAAAATTAACGGACTAAGATGGGTGACTCTGTCTGGAGCCAACACTTGCGCAGCCAATCCGAGGCTACAGGACCCGTTCAGTGGTAGCCTTGAGAGCCGAGTGCCAGCCCAGCTAGGGATGGGGATTGTGTATGCCTCTTCCTTTCCTGCTCTCTCTGCCTGTCTGCTGTTGTTCTGCCCGTGGGCCATGGCTGTGTGGCTGCTCTTTCTAGCTGTAGAAGGACAACCCTTACCCTGTCCAGCCCACCGTTGAGCTGATGGAAGATGAAGCACCCCTTGCCCCATGCAGCTTTGGGCTGCCAGATTCTGGTTCTCCTGCTTCAATGGATGCTTACTTCAGGTCATCCCAAGGGCTCTCGCTTTCCCTCTCGGTATTTGGAGAATTTTATGCTAATGAGAATGTGGCCTGAAAGAGAGACCTACCTGATTGTTAGCCGGGGAAGGAGAGAGGTAGAGATAAAAGCGGCGTCCATTGAATAATGTATTGTACTAGCTAGTTTTAGGTTAACTCAATACAAGCTAGAGTCACTTTGGAAGAGGGAGCCTCCATTGTGAAGAGGCCCCTGCCAGGTTGGCCTGTGGGCAAGCCTGTGTGTGGTGCGTCTTCATGATTGCTAATTGACGTGGGAAGCCCCATTTCACTGTGGGCTGTCACCTGCGGGCTGGGGTCCTGAGTGTAAGAGCAAGCCATGAGGAGAGCAAGCCCAAGCAGCCGCCTTCCTCCATGGTCTCTGCTGCGGTTCTTACCTCCAGTGCCTGCTGTGAACTTCTACCCTGGTTTCCCTGGGTCATGGATACAACAGCTAAGATCAAACAAATCCTTTCCTGTCGAAGCTGCTTTTGGTCCTGATGTTTTATCTCAGCCACAGAAACACTAATGACGACAGACATTAGTCAAAGAATGCCACTATTTGTTTGTTTGCTTGCGTTTTTTTGTTTTTGTTTTGCTTTGTTTTTGATGACAGGGTTTCTCTATGTAGCCCTAGCTGTTCTGGAACTCACTCTATATACCATATATTCCAGACTGGCCTTGGAATTATTACCCCCCCCCCTCCTTTTTTTAAAACACTGGGTTTATGGGTGCTGGTACTTAGGTTTTGAAGTCTAGAGAGAAGTGCAGGACTTTCCCACAAGCTTGCTGCTGTTTATGTCTGAGCTCACACAACATGGTTCCTAAGGTTTTCCAGTTTACAGCCCTGGATGACCTCTTTAGGGAGTCCTTGAGAATGGCTCTCCTACAGAGCTCTAGCTGGCTAGGCCTGAGTTTAAAATATGAGGGCTGGTGCCACCATGAGGAGAGAGTGGGAACTGCAAGTACGCAAGGGTGGGAGAGTTTTTTCTGACTCCCCTGATGCTGCCTATCTGACACACGACCTTAGGGTTCACCAGGGTATGACTTAGGGACCAATCCTTCTGAGGCACCCCTGTGCTGTGAAACTTTCTGTCCTGGATCCAGAGTTCCGTGAACCTGGCTCTCTCTGACCCCTGCTCCTGCTGGTCACTGCACTCCACACCCATCCTCACCTGGGACAGACCTAGGCTTGACTCCTCCACTTCTCCACAGCAGCTCTCCTTCCTCCTGAAGGTCTTCTTGCAGCCACACTGGCAGAATCCCACGAATTCTACGTGATTCAGCCATCTCACACATGTAGAATTTACCATCTTTGGTCATTACTAATGAATCTGGTCATTAAATTGACATGATTGCCATGTGTACTTACGGCACACTGGGTATTTGTGGACCTGGTTCGTGTCCCTCGGGCAACTTATTTAAGCACATTTGAAGACTGAGCCAGATGTTTTTACACATTGGTTTCTACGAGGCAGTCTATACTAGGTGCTGAGTGAACACGTTAGGCTATGGGACATTGACTGCAGGAGGGAGAGGTGAAAACAGCATTGTCACAGAGCCCAGTCAACTGTCATCAAGAACAAAAACTGTCCGCCACCGTTCAAAAGTTACCAGCAGTTGGGGTGGCCCTCAAGCCCTGTCTTCACGGTAGCTCTGGCCTAGTAAGAATTGCTGCTAACATGTTGTTTCTGAACAAGCTTTCTCCATCACAGGGCCATAAATGCTGTCTTAGGGGACCGTGCCCATTGCAGCGGCCAGTACAGAGTTTGTACTGTGTCTGGGTAGAGGGAGGAAGCAGAGAAGAGGGAACCACCAGTTCATGGCTTTATAAATTTGTTTGTGCCGCTCTGACTGTGTCTTCTCCCCACAGAACAATATGACTCACCGTGCAAAACCCATCCCAGTTCCCAGCAAGGAACATCGTAAGTAAAAAAGGGAAAACCAACTTCATTTATTAAAATTTGATAATATGACATTGAAACTTCCTGTGTATGTCCATTATATAGATGCCCCCTCCCGTTTTCAGTTAATGGCGCCCATAAAATACGGCTGCATTGTCGAGGGAGGAAACGACCCATGCTTGCATCTGGATCAAGGTTTATGTACTACAGGAGAATGTGCCCAGGGGTTTTCTGGAAAGAAACGTTTTGAGCTATTATTTATGCATTGACTGTGGAACTCAGAAGGCTTTGGCTTTTAAAAATTCAGACTTAAGTAGTTTTAGCTTTGGGAATTGGATTTGGGGGATGTGTGGAATGAGGTTTTCTGCTATTTTCTGGCCTATTTAATAGCAGGAGCTTGTTCTGCCACCCAGATGTTCTTATCCAGGCCAGGCACATCTAAATGTATTCTGGGTTTTTGGAACACTTTAATCTCACGTTGTAGATGTTTAATTCAACGTTTTGACCCAATTTATTTTTTCAAAGTATCAAATTACTATTTCTTTACCCCGCCCCCCTCTCCCCCAGAAGTCATTGCTTGGAACCCAGTGAGGTGACCTGCTCAGGCTTCCCTCCCTCCCTCCGTGTCTCAGTTGCCACTGGCTTGTCAGGTGCTCTCAGTTCAGAGTCCAGAGTCATCGTCTTCATGCCTGGTGCCCGAGGAGGCCAGGAGAGGGCGTCAGATACCCTGGAACTGAAGCTGTAGATGGTTGTGAACCATGTGGGTGTTGGGAATTGAACTGTGGTCCTCAGGGAAAAACAGCCGAGCCATCTCTGCAGCCCGTTTCTTCTCTTTTTGTTCCGTGTTTTGGAGGATAGGCATTGCTAAGATCCGAATAGAGTGGAAGAGATTATTGCATGTCGCTGTGACTGAATGAGAAGACAAGGCTAAGTTATTGTAACCAAAGACCAGCTCCTTGGTGGAGTGATTTTTCATTTCAACATAGAAAAATGAACAGTAACGTAAGAGTTTTGATAGATAAAATGTCATTGTCTGAAGGATGGGGTCTTGGTCAGAACAGATTTTATTATGGTCTGGTGCATGAGGCGCTTCTGCTTCTGAGAGTCCTCGACCGCAAACAGACCCATGTCCCTCGTGTTTCCCCTTTCTGTTTTGTTTTTTCACTTTGGGGAATTTTGCTGGCAGTTTTGAATCACCGCCTTAGACTATGGCAAGAAAGGAGGAGGAGCCTGGGCCAAGGATCAGTGCTATGAGTGTCTCTGAGATGTCCTAGGCCATCAGACTCCGCTCTGTTTGTGATGGTTGGATGCTGGGCATTCAGCCCTGGTCACCAGAGAAGGGCCTGGCCATTGTCTTTGGGGCATCCAGGAGGGAAAACTGAAACTCAGGATTCACCCGGCGTTCCCTTCCGCAGGGGGCAGAATGGGCAGAGCAGTGGCACCGAGGGCAGGAAGTAACTCTTCCTGGTCTGTGGGTGAAGCATCAAAGCTGACTGGGTGCTGCACCCTAGAAGCTGCCTGGCAGTAGGCGGAAGTCACTTCCTCCCAGCCCATCACACTCAGCCTAGTGTCCTAGTAACTGCCTAGCAACCACGGAACTCAAGAGAAGCTCGAAAGTCCATTGCAAATGAACTTATAATCCTGTGACGGAATTTTCTAAATAGAAAGTGCTAATTGATATTTGAAACAAGTACTTGAGGCATTCTCAGAAGAGAATTAATTTATGCCACAATTTAGTCAAGCTAGTGACGAATTTGACCCCGTGACAGCATCCAGGCTCACTTGGGTGTTCGGGCTGCTGGGGTGGCAGGTGGAGTGTTGTAATAGTCTGCTGTCCCTTGCACATCAGAATTGATAATTACAGGGTTGTTCATACTGTGACTTTAAAAAATCAGTTTTCATCCTGCTAGATCTAGAAGCAGCTCGTTAAAAGAAGAGCGGACATAAAAACAGAGAATGAAAGCAAGGTGGTAACTCTCGCGTCTGCCCAGCTGAGAGTGCAGGTGCACCCTACTAGAACGTCTGCCCACACGGAGTGTGTGTTTGAACACTGCTCTGTGTGCGCCCGTCTTGAGCTTTAGTTACTCTCTTCAGGGACCCTTTCTCAGCAGAGCCCCGGCGGTATCCCGTAAGGTATCAGTCCTGTTGTCTGCCTCCACGTTCAGGGAGGGTTTGTGTACTCATTGGTGCCGGCTTTGCAGTCCACTTCCTTTCCAAGATGTGAAGCAGCTGCAGGACAGCACACCGAGTGTTTCCTCTTCCCGAGGTTATCGTGTCCTTTGTACGGTTCCTTTCTGGAGTCCAGGGCAGTTGGCAGGCCCGTGGGGTGCTGCTGTGCCCATACCTTCGCTCACTGTTACTGTGGTGCTGTGGCGTCCTGTCCCCCCCCCCCCCCAACTGAGAGTTTTTTTCCCTCACTTATTTATTTATTGGCTCTGAACTCAACCCCTACTTTGGATAAAGGAATAAAGGACAGAAGTCAGTCTCCCATTTGAAGCTTGACTTCCCTGGAAATTTATGTTCAGGAGAGGGAAACCTGGGATTCAGGAGGAGGAGGAGGCGGCGGCATTAGTGATAGCCAGGGAAAGGCAGACATTCTCGTAGATAAACTTGAGTATTCAGGTTATCTCAGTAGTGCTAGTTTTTTATTATGTTGGTCCAAACGGGAGTACTGTGTGCTGTGTGTGTGTGTATTCTAACCCCCAGAGTGGGACTTCTGTCGGCCGAAGGGCTCTAGGCCTTCCAGCCTTCCTGCCTTTCCTTGTTTCTTGTGTGTTGTTTTACTGTCGTACAGGAGATTGAATTGTGGGCCTTGTCCAAACGTCTGGACACTTACACCCAGTCCCCAAATGTGTCCTTTATAATGAGGTCTGACGACACAGTTTGTTTGTCCCGGTTAACTTAAATCAGATCGACGTGAGACAATAAATTTTCTCTTCCCATTTCATAAAAAGTTAGCACATACTGTTGGAGATGTTTTACCTGGATTCTCACTGGCAGCTCTAACTGAATGTGTTGTTGGTGGACAATTATCATCAAAAACAAACTGTGGAAACTATGTCAGGTGGGAGTTTATGTTACTGTTGTTGAGGTGTTGCCCCTCTGCTTCAGGACCACAGGTGCACACACCTGTGCTCTCGTTTGTAGGTTTGCAGGTCGACTTTTGCAGCTGCCATCACTGCTGAGCACTCTGCACCTGGCTCCTGGGACACTGGGTCAAGTGATTGAGAACCTAGGGTTATGGTGTTCACAGTGACTGTTAACTTGCATATAGAAGGGAGCATCTTACGTGTTCCAGGAGGAAACCAGAGCTTTACACTGAAGGGCAGTAAGGATCCTAGCATTTCTCCTCCTGCTGCCGCTTCCCCTCCATTTCTCCTCCCTTCTCCCTCCTCTCCTCCACTTCTCCTTCCTCTCCTTTATTCTCCTCCCTTCTCCCTCCTCTCCTCCACTTCTCCTTCCTCTCCTTTATTCTCCTCCCTTCTCCCTCCTCCCCTCCATTTCTCCTCCCTTCTCCCTCCTCTCCTCCACTTCTCCCTCCTCTCCTCCACTTCTCCTTCCTCTCCTTTATTCTCCTCCCTTCTCCCTCCTCCCCTCCATTTCTCCTCCCTTCTCCCTCCTCTCCTCCACTTCTCCTTCCTCTCCTTTATTCTCCTCCCTTCTCCCTCCTCTCCTCCACTTCTCCTTCCTCTCCTTTATTCTCCTCCCATCTCCCTCCTCTCTTCCACTTCTCCCTCCCCCCTCCATTTCTCTTTCCTTCTCTCCCTCCATTTCCCCTCCCTCATTTCTTTTCCTTCTTCCAGCATTTGTTATAATGGCTTAAGATCCTATTTTGTTGTTGTTGTTGTTTTTATGATATGTGCTACCCTCTTCTTGAGAATCTGCAACTTCCCACTCTTCCCATAAGGCGATTATTGCCCATATTTCTGGCCTATTTCAAAAAGGAACCAGAAGTCAGAGTTGGTGGTTCTGTAATCCTAGTACCCGGAAGGCTGAGGTGAGGAGCATTAGGGGGTTGATGATAGTTCGTTCTATATTGTGAGAACCTGTCTCCAAAAGGTAAAAGCAAATGCCAGTGGGTTCTGTGCCAGCCCAGGCTACATAGTGAGAACCTGTCTGAAAAACAAACAAGGGAACAGAAGTCAGAGTAAATTGTCAACTTGTGGAACTTCAGGTGTCTTGGAGTTCCGCCTCCACTGTCCCCAGGTCGTTTGGGAGCTGAGTAATGACACATATCCTCACATGTTCACTGGCTGTCACTTCTGTCCCTACCATTTTAACATAGCCACTGTCACCATCAGGACTTACCGGTTACAGATTGCTGCTCTTAGCTTGCTCTTTCTCAAGTAAAATGGTACTAAAAGCTAAGCCAGAAATTGAGTTTATTTAAATAGTTTGGGGTTCTTTGGTGTTGGCTATTTGCAGAGTAAGCCTTGGAGAAGCCCAGTTATAGGAAATGGACAAGAAAGCAAGGCTTGTCTCTGAGTCTTTGCACAGTAACATTGGGCTGACTCACGGAAGCATGCCTGCCAGAGCCTGCCCGCAGCCATGCATTCTGCTGGAGGACGGGAATGCAGAAGGCATCTGCACAGAGGCTCCAGGGGTGTCTGACCCTTTGACATCCCAGGTCACCTCACCTGTCCTATCAATGTGCCTACCGTAGGTTCTGGTCCAGAGATGCTTTTCTGCAGCATTTGGGCTCCTTCTGAGTAGCATGGGTGTGGGACATTTGGTGCTGAGTGCTTTACCTGGGAGCTTGGAGGCAGCATCGGATCAGTGCTGAAGGGTTAAATTACTCTATTTTCTGGGGGACCAGCACACTCACCCTAGTAGTTACTGATTTATGCTAAATTGAGGTCTTTTTTCATTTCCCATAGATCTCAGGTCCTCTGATTGTCATGTCAAATAGATTGGCCAGAGCGAAGGGAATCTCAGGCCATGGGATGGACCCTCTCTCATCTCAGGTCCGGGTTGTAGAGTGGCCATTTCTGCCTCTCAACCACCACACGGTCTGTGGGCATAACTCTGTGATACGGCTACCTCTTTATTCCTGCCTTTTCCTCTCCTCTCCCCATCTTCCCAGACTCTCACCTCTTGTCCGTCTTTTCCGGGGATTGAGCCCAGGGAAAGCCTCATGAACGCTAAGTAAGAGTTCTCTCACCAAACTACAGCAGTAGCCCTTGGGCCGGCACTCTAGGGTGCCGTGTTCTCGGTTCAGGAACATGAAGGTGGAAATGTCTTCGACTTTGCCTCAGAAGAATTCACAGTGGTCAAGGAGAGGGAGCCCATCCCTGGGGTTCGTGACTGATGAGGAGAGGGAGCCCATCCCTGGGGTTCATGACCGAAAAAGAGAGGGGGCACATCCTGAGGTTCATGATAAACAAGGAGAGGGGGCTCATTCCTGAGGTTCATGATGGATGAGGAGGGAGGACCATTCCTGGGGTTCATGATAGTCGAGGAGAGGGGCCCATCTTTGGGGTTCACGATAGACATGGAGAGGGGGAACCATTCCTGGGGTTCATGATGGTTGAGGAGAGGGGCTCATCCCTGGGGTTCATGATGGACAAGAGGAGGGGGGCCCATCCCTGGGGTTCATGATGGATAAGGAGGGGCCCATCCCTGGGGGCTGCTGCTCTCTTGACCTAGGTTTTAGGCACAGGAGCAGGACTGGCTCAGGGAGATCTCAGTTCTCATTTAGAGGTCCTTACCCAGGTGTGCTTTGTCTCACCCTACGTGTTCAGGGACCAGTTCCCTCACAGATAGCACACAAACCCAGTTGCTGATGAAACAACCAGGAGACAGAGCAGCTGACTCCTCTCTTGTGCCCAAGCTCCATTTTCTGCAACTGTAGAGATTCTCCTTCTGGAAAATCATAATGGCACTCATGAATTTCCCCTATTAAGCAAGGTTTTATTATGATTTTTAAGCAAACTGGGTGTTTATACACGTTTCTTATTAAAAGTTTGAAACGACTCCCCACTGCCTGCCTCCTGGCAGCATCCTGACGTGTGCTGAGTCACCCACATCTGTCCTAAACTGTGTTCCGGAAGGGTTGTGGTTCCTTACGGCTGGATCAGCAGACTCTGATGGTGTGCTTCTGTCTGCTGATTATCATATGAGCTACATTAGGTCTTTGTTTTTGTTTTTTTGAGAACTTTCATGTAGTCCAGATTGGCCTGGAATTTGAACTTGCTCTTCTCTGAAGTTGAGCTTCAATTTCTGCCTCCTGCCCCGACCTTCCCACCTAACGGCACATGCCTCCTCCTCCTCCTCCTCCTCCTCTTCATCTTCCCCTTCTCCTCTCCCTGCTCCTCCTCTTCTTCTTCAAAACATTTTTCTGTCTGCCCGCCTACTTACCCACTGTGCACAGAGTGGTGATAGTGTGGAGTCCGGACATGGGTCCCCTTTTCTACCACGTGGGACAGGGGGCGGGGTCCAACTCCAGTCAACCTGCTTGGCAAGCAGCTACCTCTCCCCTCTGAACCATTTCACTGATATTTTGTTTGTGTACACCTTTTGTAGTTGGCCTTGAACTCAGATCCTGCTTCTGCCTCCTGAGCACTGGGATTAAAGGTGTGCACCACCACCCCAGCTCTAGCCAGCTTTTTCAGTTCTTTATTAAATAAATTATACTCACAGATTTAGGCCATAGGAAACACTGAGAGTATATATTGCACTAATAGCTTACATAAGTGATTAAAATGATTACTTAAGGTCCGTGTTTATGCAGTCAGTCTTCTTTCCCCGAGACCTGGCCCACTTTTTGAGACTTGAATAGATTTTATACCAGCGGACATGTTGTCATCCTCTAGAACTTCTGGAAGGAGAACTCCCGTGGTGCCTGGTGTTTCTAGATGAGCTCGAACTCCCTGCGTGCACCTTTACTGACTTAAGGAGACTATATGCACAGAAGTTAGGTGTTATTCCGTAGCAAGGGGGAAACATAAATGAACTTTTTAATTCTCTGCTGTGGATGGGAGTGCGGTAGGGTTACAGGATCTTTTGTGGTACCGAAAATTAAGAAAGATTAGTTTCTAGTTTCGTACAAAAGAAACCCAGTAGCTAAGGGGCATGGTTTCTTCCTGTAGGTCTGTTGTTTGTGGTTAATCCTGACGACACATGGCCAACTTGGCCAGGATTCCCCCTCCCTGTTGTGTTATACCTTGTGAGTTTTTTCCTGCAAATATAATACCTTTTGCTGTGTCCCCTAGCCCAGCCAGCTTAGTGGCAAACCTGTTACATAACTTTATTTGTTATACCCTTCTGATGGCCAACTGCCAAGTCCCATGACTGAAGGACGTGTTTTCTAGCCGTGGTAAAATAAGAATTCAGTTTCTATTTGATAAACATTGAGTGAGATCTTCAACTTATAAGTACCTAAAATTTTTCTTTTCTCTCTTTCCTCCTCGTTCTCCTCCTCCTCTTTTTTTTGACAGGTATTCTTTGTGTAGCCCTACTACCTGTTCTGACACTGTAGACCAGATTGGCCTTGCTTGAACTCAGAGATGGGTCTGCCTCTGCCTCCCGAGTGCTTGGGTAGACGCGTGAGCCTGCACAGTGCACCCAGCCTCAGTTCTCCTTATAGAAATCGTACACAGACAGCTTTAGCGCATTCGCTGCTGAAACAGTTCCTTGGTGGAATTAGCAAGTCACATGCATGTGGTCATTCATGAAGTTCTGTCATTTCTCCCATTAGAAAATGTAGTGCGTTTTACCAGGGCTTCCTGAAGGAGCCATGCCTTCCTCCTTCCTGGTGCTGCAGTAGGAACTTAAGCCCAGGTTACTGAAGAGGTGTTTTGAGAGCTATCAAAGGATTTTTAATTTGTTTTCTGGGACACTAAAAATGCCAGATTCCCCCTCCCCCCCCAATTTTTCTCCCTCCTTTAAAAAAATGGTTTCGCCTATAAACTTGGAGAGAGCTGTGGAGAACAGTGAGTGATTGTTGCCTTCGATATTTGAGGTCCCCTGGAGAAAGTGTGCCTAGCAGTGTGCAGCAGAGAAGTGTCAGGGAATGAGCTGACTTTATTTTCCCTGCCAGAATCAGTAGCTGTAAGATTAAAGTATCTTACCAGCAACAGGGCCATTTATGTTACTAATTAAATTAACAGAACATTGATATGGGTTTGTATCCAAGTAGACAAAAGAGAATGATTTTTTTTTTTTTTTTTTTTTTTTTTTTTTGCCTGTGAAAAACAGTGCTCAGTATTAACAGTGCCCTCTGGACAAAAATGAAAAGAATCATTTGGTCGTCTTGGGGCTTTGTGTGCTTAACATTGTTTAAATACTTACATTCAACTGGGCAGTGGTGGCGCACGCCTTTAATTACTACACTTGGGAGGCAGAGGCAGGTGGATCTCTGTGAGTTTGAGACCAGCCTGGTCTACAGAGCTAGAGCCAGGATAGACTCCAAAGCTACAGAGAAATCCTATCTCAAAAAAAAATGAATAAAAAATAAATACTCTCCATTAGTTCAGCATCAGCATGTTATGATAATCATTTATTATTAATAACTTTCTTAGCGGCCACGGGAGAAAGCTGTTTGTGTGTGTGTCTTCATGTATCTTCTCTGTCTTTTCTGTTTGTGTGGATGCTCTCACTGAAGGAGTTGAGGGCACAGTCTCAGGGTGGATTAGACATGGCTGCCAGAAGTTCTGTAGTTTGGCTGATCTGCTTTCAGTGTTAAAATGGTATAGCTTGAGTTTTAGAAAATTGATCTGAATAAGCAAGCAAAGCAAGCCTCCAGTTTATCCCTGCCCTGTCCCTCTTCAGTGTCTTTAAGCACATGTACTATTTAAATGCCCCCCCAAGTTATTAGGGGTTCTCTCAATTTTCCTCTATCTGTTTTTCCCAGCATGCTTGAGGATGACCTGCAGCTCAGCGACAGTGAAGACAGCGATACGGAACAAGTGAGTGTTGAACTCAGAGACCAAGAACTCTTCTGAGTCCACCGAATGCACCCTGGCTGCTTGTCCTAACCAGTGTTTCTGTTCTTAATGTCCAGGCTGCAGAGAAACCTCCGTCCCCATCTGCACCTCCAAGGTACTGTGTGCACGGCCCTCCCTGCCGACCCCAGAACTGCTGCTCCCCTGCCACACACCTAAACCAAATGAGAGTAAAGGCGGACTCATTTCCTCTGTAGCCAAAACCCAAGTCAGCTGCTGAGAACTGGAGGGGGAGGTCATTAACCTTGGGAACGTGGAAGGCGTCAAGAGTTGGTAAAGTCTTTGCCTTCCAAGCACAAGCTCTTGACTCAGCCCCCGCCTGAGAGTCAGGTGTGGCTGCATGGTCCGGGTGCTGGGGTGTGGAAACAGAGTCCCTGGAGCTGCCGTCCCAGCGGCCTCATCTGTGAGTGTCTCAAAACTGGAAATTGATTGACAAAGAGAATTGTTCCCGGGGTTTCTCTTTTCTTCATCTGGCTGCTTTAAAATGTGACTCCCAGGACATTTAATGTGAGGGGAGCCTCATTAATTTCACCTTCAAATGAGCAGGCCCTGTTTAGAAAAGTAATGTTCTGTGTTTGGGAATTGGAAGCTATTTTTTTGAACTAGTTTTGTCGTATTTCCCCCCTGGTACTAAATAAGATGATGTAAGGTGAAAACGACCTGTCCCTCACAGAATTGCAGGGCGCCCAGCCACCTAGAGAGAAGGTCACCAGAAAGGACCTGGTGTCAGTAGCAGTGATGTAATAGTAAAGGAAGCATTCACCATACAGCTCACGGTTCGTAACCCGGCCCATTTATTTATATCCAATCTTGTTAACATCTCGAGTAGCTCATGTTGACTCAGAAAACATGACAAACTGGTCTATTTATTATAAAAGCCAAGGAAAAGGCAGCAGTGAACCCAGATGCCGGAAAGGCCGGAGCAGGAGCTCCCTCCCAGGGGTGCCTTCCGCTGTCACTGGTGCACCCCACTCCCCCCCTCCCGCTGACTCAGCACTGATGGAGTCCCTGTGACAAGCCCAGCCCGTGGATTTTTATTACACTATTTATTATTTAATAAGGGTTTGTTTTGAGAATATTGTCGGGAGGTTTCAAAACGTTAAAGATGTCTGCTTTAGCTACTGCCATTTAGGGCAGCTAAGACTGCATAGGGTTTGAAACTCTATGCCTAGCCCTGATCTGTATGTTTTCTCATGGACCTACAGTTAATGGCCAACTCGTACGACTTGGAGTTGTTCTTGCCCAGCTAGCCATAAAGAATGGCCCATTGTCTAACTCCACCAGGAAGTGCCTGGGCCGCTTCTGAGCTCACCCTGCCCAGGAACTCTCTGTGTTCAGCGGTGTCTGGTCCTGTGTAGAGAAAACAGGGCGGCTTACACATTAGCCTTTCCTTTACTTCTTTTGAGCTGTATGTAGTATGAGCCACATAGTGAATATTTTAGCCTCTGTGGGACATGTAACTCTGTTTGTAATTGCTTAACTGTGCTGTCACAGCACAAAAGCCAGCACAGATGGCCTCGGAGACCGCAGTAGATGGCGCGCTCTAATAAAACTTTATTTAGAAAACGTCTTCAGCTGTCCAGGTTCTGGTTTACCAGACTTGGCCCCTGTTGTATGCATAGGTATTGTTTCTATCATCCAGCAGATGATAGGCCGGCTTGATGCCACTCCTCTTAACACAGTTTGCGACCACCGGATGCTAAGCCAGCGTTGGTGCTTTTGCTTTCTAGGAGCAGGTGGATGGGCAGAGGCAAGGGGGAGCCTCTGATTGCACCTCTGCTTGCTTTGCAGCGCCCCACAGCCGCTTTCCGAACCAGTGGTGTCAGCACATTCCAGTAGTGCAGAGTCAGAGAGCAGCGCGTCTGACAGCTCCTCGGACTCCGAGACTGAGAGCAGCTCCAGTGACACCGAGGAGAACGAGCCCCTCGAAACCCCGGCTCCCGAGGTAGCACGGCCCCTTCAAAGGCAATCCAAGATGACAGCATGCTGGCTTTGGGGTGGGCGACCATTCCCAAGGTCCGGAACCTTGTGCTGCTTGGCTAGTGCTTGGCAGTGGACACACGGGCACGACAGCTTCCTCTGCAGCAGCTTAGTGCTGCTTCCCAAGAGTGGTTGCGCTCCGTCCTCTTTTAGAAAGGAAACTTGTCCTAAGTAGGCTACTGCATTAGTGTCAGTGGAAGGGTCTTTGAGGAATTCAAGAATCGGCGACTGAAAGAAAAGGAAAGAGATGTGAGCTAGGAGCAGGTCATCATTCTGTGTTTGAATCACTAAATGCCATGCAGTAAAACTGATGGCAGAGTGATTTGCCAGGAATCTGGTTCTTGCTCCTTCCTGTCCCAGGTAGCATAAGGACAACTGAGTGTGTTGATGCCCACTTTGGAAGTACTGTAACGATGGACAAACAGTAAGCCTGGAAGTCACGAGAACTATGTTTCCCTAGAGAATTCACACCATGTCCTGGTGGGTCACCCACTAGAACCCGTCTGTAATAGCTAACAAGGTTGCCTGCATGGCCTTAGAACCCAGGCAGCAGCATAAAAACTGAGCTCATGAAAAAGGAAGGCTTCTTTCTGTTTTATGAGATGAGACCAGCCCTTATGGAGAACACTGCTTCTGTATTTAAGATTAGAATGCCAAGACATGAGGCTTTTTTGATAAGACAACATTAGTTTTCTGTATGCATCTCCACAGATGTTAGGTCATCTAGAACAGCAGCTGAACTCGGCTGGAGAGCGGACTGTGAGCTCAGGGGCTGGATGAGGGCATCTGAGATTGAGGAAGTGAGTCCTATGCTGGTAGGCGGGGCTCTGCCTGGCATACAACAATGCCAAGAGCTGTCCTTGTTTTAGTTTTTTGAGGTTTTTACAGTGCATGGGCGTGGGTCAGTGTTAAATGCATTTGAAGTGCCTTTTAGAGTTTAAAGCAGCTCATGGGTCCCCCTGTTCCTCATGTGGCACTGACTATATGAAGTGATTCACATGGATTTTGGGAGGGAGGGGTGACAAACATGTTCTGTGCTGGTCCCTACAAGAGCTTTGTGTGAGGTGCTTTGTTGTTTTAGGTGCCAGAACATGAGTGTAGAGCATACTTAGCATGCATTCTGCCACTGAGCTGAATTCTTAGCACTGTGCTTCATCTTCAGTAAGAAAAATGTGCGTGCTTATTACATTATTAATAGAAAATGTTCAATAAAACAATGAAGTTTGGCTGGGTGGTGATGGTGCACACCTTTAACCTCCAGCACTTGGGAGGCAGAAGCCAAAGGATCTCTGAGTTCATGGTCAGCAGGACAGCCAGGGCTACACAGAAACCCTGTCTCCAAAAACCAAAACAAAACATTCCTTGCTGGTGTTGTAGCACTGGGGCCCTTGGGTCATCCCTAGTGCCTCCAAGAGTAAAAAGAACACTAGAAAATGATTTAATCTTGGCTCAGTCATCACAAAATAACTGAAATAAAGCTTGCTGTGGTAGGATCACCTATAAACTTCAAACTGAGGATCCTGAGGCTCGGGGGCAGCCTGGGTTACATAGTATGCCCTAGCTCCCACAAGTCCAGCAAGGCAGATTGGAACTTCCTAGGTGCAGAATAATGTTCCTGCCTCACTGCCTCTTAAACTCGCTTCAGTGAGCAGGCTGCGTCTCTGCGTGTGGGGTCTGTGCTCTGGGCTCTGTGCTGAGGCTCTCTTTGGGGAATATCTTGTCTTGAATTACTTTCACTTTCCCTTAGCTATTTAATTGCTTTTTATCCCCTTTGAAGTGAATATCTACGAAGTTTTCCCTTTTGGTTGAGGGGAACATGGATTACATAATCAACTGTATACACTCTCTCACCCACTTGTATTTTTAATTACTAATTAGCTTTGAGACAATGTCTCACTAAGTAGCGCTAGGTGGCCAGGAACTCATTCCATAGACTAGCTTGGAAGGGATCTGCCTGCCTTTGCCTCTTAAATGCTAGGGTTAAAGGCATACACCACCATGTATAAATTTCTTTATTTAATCTGTGTTTGTGTGGGCACACTTGTGTGAGGCACCTTGGGGGTGAACAGAGGACTCCTCTCAGAAGCTCATGTCTCTGAAACCTTTGCCTGGGTCCCAGGCATCAGGTTATCAGGTTAGTACAATTTAAGTATTTATTTGTTATGTATACCTCAGAACTTTGTTTTGAACCATAATTCATTCTAAAACACACACACATCCGTTACTTTTAGAGGTTAGGAGAACCAAGAGGGTGTTTAGACGTGCTCAGACTGCACGCCGTGCCTTCTCTTACCTTTAGACCACATTAGTCTGGAAGCAGTCCACAGATTCTCATCTTCTGTGGAAACAAAAGCAAAACCTCTTTTCCAAAGCAATATATCCTAAACCCAAATTTTGAAGTCAAGATATATTTTAAATATGTATGTTGGTTTAACTTAGCAGCCCATACAATGAAATGTCTCTCTGTACTTAGCTTCTTCACAGTAAAAAAAAAAATCAAAGAAAACACAAAAATATACATAATTTAGACTCTCTGTGTATATTTCATTTTTACATGGCTTATTTGTTTTTACTCTCTTTTTAATATTTATTTTATTATCTTTTCTCCTTAAGTCTGTGACTGTCTCTTTAAAGACTTTATTTTTTAGAACTTTCTTTTTTATAACTGTCTATACACTTTTTCTTCTCTCTCATGTCTAGATACATTTATCCAACACTGTGACCCATTTAGAGGTCTTTTTATCTGAATCTGTCGTTATTGTGTATCTGTAATTATTTTCTGGCCAGTTATTTTAAATGCTAAGGGGGTGTGGCTAGGACTAAGGTGCTTTGCCTTTTGGCTCCACCCAGTCTAACATGGTAGAGACTTGTTCACGACCTCTGCGAGCTGTGCACATCACCTGAGTTCCAAGTATACAACAGGTCTATGTCACACGATTAAGCAGTTTGTAACACACTTCTTAGAAACACCATTTAAATGCTTGGTCTCCTGAAAGAGCCAGAGCTGTTTGCGCAACTAACACAAACCAGGAAACCTTCTTAAAGGAGCCATGTGATTTTTGCTGAGTCAGGAAGACCTCTCTTAAACTCGCTAAACTTTTTGTGTGTGTGTGTATGTGTCTTAGAATTACTTCTCAAGCGCTCTCTCAGGTTTTAAGTGGATTTAGTTGTCCATGTTGGTACCATTTGTTGCCAGAGGTTTCTGTCCTACCTGGTTGGGCAGCCATTCAGTCCCAAAGAAACACACAGAGGTCTACATTAATTATAAACTGGTTGGCCTATTAGCTCAGGCTTCTTATTAACCCTTATATCTTGCATTAACCCATAATTTTTGCCTGTGTCAGCCACGTAGCTTGGTACCTTTTATTCGTGAAGCATTCTCATCATTTAGGTTGACCACCTTTGAGAGGGTACATGAGGAAGAGAAAAATGAAAAGCCAAACTTTGATTTTATCTGTTAGAAAGTTATAGTCTGCTTTAGCCAAATCTTTTATCCAAACATCTCAACCTAAATAATTCCTAGCCCCTTTAGCAGCCACGTTTGCAAATCCATTAGTGTCTGGAGGAAGAGCTTCTAGTTTTTCTCCTAGTTGGGCATACCACTCGGGCTTACTGTGTAAAAAAGTGGGCCATAGGACTCCCTTCTGGACCTTCAAGACCACAGTGGAAGTCAATGTATGCTATTTCTGTAACCAGGACACCCCTTCAGGGACTCTCTTAGGGGTGGGGTTGCAGGAACAACTCTTCCTTTGCGTCCACACGTGAATACATTCGGAGCAGCCCGTCAGTAATTGGTAGGGCTGCAGCTGTAACAGGAGGTATTGTCCTGTCCCAGCCTTTCCTAAGGAGTGGTGGGAAGGATTTGGTTTCAGGGCACTCTGCCACACAGCTTTATCAGCTCACTGAGCCACTGTGCTACCAAAAGCCATGAGTCTAAGTAGGAAATCGTGGCAAGCAGCCACTCTGCTGCTCTCTTCTCTGCACACGCTTAACCACCTTGTTGCGTTAGAATAACACTGTGTTTCCATGTGATAGCATGCTCTGTACATTATAGAAGTCATTTTCCCCTCTTGCTGAAATTTAAATGAACACCTGGGTGAGCTGGTGTAAGTTGGAGGCTGGACAAGAGATCTGTTGCCCTAGGAGCAGTATAGTGTAAACAGAAAAGAGCCCAGCCCCTTTCTGCCTACGGGAACCCTCCTGGCTTCTCTGCTGGCTTCTTGTTGGTGGTGTTATCCCACTGTGAGCACAAGAAGCTACACCATCTTACTTCTGGCCCATCCTGACCAAAATGGCATCCATACAGCATGTTTTTGGAGAGTTGGATTATCTGGTATACTGTCAAGCCATCTTCCCTTTGAAAAACTTCCACTCTGAGGCTGAGGGTAAAGGTCAGTGATAGAGCACCAGCCTGCCAGGCACAGGCTTTCCGTTTGTTCCCCAGCAAGTTAAACAAAATTAAGAAGATTATATTTGGTTCAACCGGCTGGATGGCTCTTATCCGTGATCTAATCAGTTAAGTCTCATGTGTCAGACCTTTCAGTTAGCGCTGGTGGCCTGTATGTGGTTTAACTGTTCACTTCAATAAGAGTGGATCTCGGGGAAGGGGAAACAGAGCAAGTGAGTGATATATGGTGCCTTCTAAGATATAATTATCACTCTGTCAACACTGGCATTTCCCATATGTTCTGTAATTCATGTAGTGATAGAGATGGTCTTGTCGAGGACCAGACTTGGGTTTTCAGCAGTTAGTAGCAGGCTGTTCGCAGCTCCCACTGTGAGGGAATCTTACACCCTCTTCTGGCCATCTGTATTCAGTATTACCCACCCCCATTAATATAATTAATATACATGCTATAAATGTATCAGAATAAAAACATTTTAAATGAAAAAATTACAAAATAAAATATTAAAAATATATGAAAGTAAGTCACCATATATATATATATATATATACATACACATATACACACATATACACATATGCATATATATATACATATGCATATATATATACACGCAAAAAAATGACCAAATATCTCCTGGCATGGCATGCATCCATAGTTAATTTAGCAGCAACAGTTTTAATCACAGGATGTTTTAAGAACTTCTGTCCATCTGCCCTATCAATTGTTTGGGTAAAAATGGGTACTGCTGTCTGTCTGTCTGCTGCGGATCTTGTCTTTGTGCTTGGCAGCAAGTGCAGCTTCAGACCTGGCTGCCTGTAGTGAAAGATGCTGTGTCCTGCTGACGTGCCTTCACCATAGCTCTCTGTAGTTCGGAAATCAGATCTGTTATATTAGTGGTGATCCCATCACATATATATTACTGTTTTTAAGTAACTAAGAGAAATCAAGTGTTAGGCAAGGATCTTTATCAATTGAAAAAGGGGTTTTTATTCCTTGTCCCCTGCATTACAGGTCAATACATGTTCATTCATTCTGTTCAAGTTGTGACATCAGGACGAAAGACATACTACAAAGACATCTCAGAAGTTGCCAATAGCTTATTAATTAATACCTACTGACCAAAGTTCTCAAATTGCAAAATTGCTTAAGATTATTCTAAACCATTAAAGACTGTGATTTATAATTTGAAGGGGATGAGTAGAAGGTAAATTCCTAGGCTCAGAATGAGCAGTTCTCCTGGGGACAGTCCTGTATGACGGGACTGCTAACACAGAAGAAGAGTTAATAACACTTTTCTCCGTCTCGGTTTCTAGCCCGAGCCTCCGACAACCAACAGGTGGCAGCTGGACAACTGGTTGACCAAGGTCAGCCAGCCCCCAGTGCCCCTCGAGGGTCGCGCAAGCACTGAGTCTCCACGCTGGCGCCAGGAGAGTAAGGATGGAGACCGCAGCACTGAGCAGCCGCACCCTGAGTCCAAAGACCCTCCCCCTAAGAGCTCCAGCAAAACCCTCCGAGGTCCCACTGAGGGGCCCCAGCCTGGGAAGAGGAGCTGCCAGAAATCCCCTGCCCAGCAGGAGCCCCCACCTCGGCAAACTGTCGGAACCAAACAACCCAGAAAACCTGCCAAGGGCTCTGGCCAGGCAGAGCCCCAGGGCAGCGGGCCTGCCGAAAGTGACCCAGGGCCCCTTCCCTATGGCTCAAAAGAACAGACTTCCAAAGACAAACCCAAGGTAAAGACGAAAGGCAGGCCACGCTCTGTGGGCAGCAGGGAGCCTAAGCCTGAAGGGCCCATGCCTAAACCACAGGCAACTGTGCCCAAGCCACAGGCAGCTGTGCCCACCCCTAATGAGAGGAGGAAGCACAAGGGTTCCCCGGCCCCCTCCAAGGCCCCCTCAGGCCCTCAGCCTCCAAAGGACAATGCTGGGAACAGGAACTCTGAGCACTTTGCTCTTGTCTCCTTGACTGAGAGCCAGGGTCCACCCCACAGTGGCAGGGGCTGCAGTGGTGTCAGCGGCATCAGGACTAGCCGCTGCCGACAGGCGGTGATTGTCCAGGAGGACGGCCAAAAAGACAGACTCCTGGTACCCTTGAGAGACACCAAATTGCTCTCACCGCTCAAGGACACTCAACCACCAACAAGCTTGGTGGTGAAGATAACCCTAGACCTTCTCACTCGGATTCCCCAGCCCCTGGGGAAGGGCGGTCACCCCAGGAAAGCGGAAGACAAGCAGCTGCTGGCGGCAAAGAAGCAGGACTCTGAGAAGAGAACCAGCGACGGCTCCAGCAGAGTAACCAAGAAGAGAAAGGTGAGTACAGAGACGCGCCTGGCGGTGTGTGCCAGGGCCAGGGTTCTGCTGGCCTGCACCCACTTCCCACTCTGCCGGTTCTTGTTTGTGGCAGGGACCCCGAGCTCGCTTTCTCCGCACCCTGCAGCTCTCCAAGGGCACATTTTTGTGTATGCAGAGATATTCTCTGACATGATGTTTTGTCCTGGGAAATTAAGGTCTTCCATGAACTGGAATGAGAATTAGTATTGTGAATGTTTGAAAGAATTGCTCTCACTCATGACGCGTGGTGTGTTACTGGAACTGTTTATTGACACGTGGGCAGGAGGTCTTGAGTAGAGGGAACTGGTAGGGTTGAGCTGCAGACCACTGGACGTCTGTGTTTAGTACGGATTTTCACGGAAAACTCGCCTTATTTGAGACTTTGTATTAGACATGCTGCCAGTTTGGACAGCACCTGCCTTATTCTAATTGTTGAGCTTGGCTCTCTTCTTTTGCTTTTTTGTGATGAGGGAAGACTGGGGAGCGTTTCCCCGGGGGCTCTCTGACTGTCTGCCTAGATCTGGCACAAAGGCACAAAAGGGGCCAACTGTCTCGCTGATGAGGGGCAGGATTTAGCCCTCTAGAGCATATGAAACTGTCTCGCTGATGAGGGGCAGGATTTAGCCCTCTCGAGCATAGGAAACATGTCTCGCTGTTGAGGGGCAGGATTTAGCCCTCTCGAGCATATGAAACTGTCTCGCTGATGAGGGTAGGATTTAGCCCTCTCGAGCATAGGCAACATGTCTCGCTCACCTGTGGAACATGAGCACAGGAAGGGCCATGGAGCTTGCTGTCCCCTGGAGACACGGCAGGGCTCTAGCAAACTGAAAAGGGTGACGTGAGAGTGCATGTGACCACCGCATCTTTGGGGTGACTCAGGTGCTTGCCGGAGATGCTGTTTGAGCCAGAAGAGGGTGGATTTGCATGCCAGAAAGTCTTTTTTTTTGGGGGGGGGGGCGGTGAGAGATAGTGTAGCCCCTGCCTGTCCGGGAACATACCATGTAGAGCAGGCTGACCTCAGACTCACAGAAATCACCAGCCTCTTCCTGCCTACCAATTAAAGACCGGAACCACCTAGCCAGAAAGATTTTAGAGCTTTCAGAATGAGACGTACTGTAGGTCGTGTCTATGTCTGTCTCTGTTTGCATGCTTGCGTGCGTGCGTGCATGTCTGTCTGTCTGTCTGTCTGTCTGGGACAAAATGTTCTCGGGGAACTTGTGGTGGGCCTGTTTAGGAAAACGTGACCCTGCATCTTAGAGTGGGTGTCAAGGATGTACTAATGTACCCCCTCCTGCCGGCAAGCCTCCCATCATCTCCCCCTCTTAGCTTCCCTGGTCTCGGGCAGTAACCATCTGCCTTTCTTTTGCTATTCCCTGGAGCAGAGGGGAGTATTCTCCCTGTGCTACCTTGTTAGAGACCCAGACTTCAGTGGGGTCTAGGCTAGCTCCTCTCCTCATCTCTGAGAACAGTTCCTGCCCTTTGGAAGGCGAGCCTCCAGACGTGGCTCAAGGGAAGCTTTTTTAGGTCAGGCCCAGGGAATCATTTTGTTCAGCAAATGGAGAAGTTATGATTTCTTCATTTTAACTGAGCTCAATTAGGTTCACTTAATTGAGTTTTTCAAAGTGCCTGATCCAAAAGAAACGCAGAACAAACGCTAACTGTTGCGTCCGTTAGTATGCTGGCCACCAGGCGCTCAGCGTCAGGACATCCTGGTTCCTCGCAGCTCTCTCCTGTCTACTACTCTGTCCCCAGCTTCTGATTCCTATAGAACCCTGCCATTTGGGCCATGCACTCTTAGGCCCTTGGTCCCCTCCTCTTAGCTCCCTTTCCTTTTTGCTCTCTGTGGCTTCCCTTCCTCTCACTCTCTGCCCTCCCACGGTCTGGTTCAGTCTCCTGCTTTCTTTCCCTGCTCTGGACTCTTCCAGTGCCTCTAGCTGTTCTCTCCGTATCTGCAATAGACACCTTCCCTTCAGCTCCTTTGGAGATGTCATGTCCTCACGCTATACACAAAGCTCTGGTAAGCACCCAGAGATATGGCTTGGGGGTCTGACTGTCTGAGAAAGGTCCAGATGGGACCCACTGGTTTCAATCCTGGCTGTAATAACGACCTCCCAAGCCTGACTACATTATAGTTGTCCCCCCCCCCTCCCCAGGTGACAGTAGGTAGCCCTCCCGAACTCTGGTGCTTTGAAATTCCTAGACAATGGTGATGCTCCCAGGATTGGGAGCAGTGGAGCACAGCCTTACATGGGCTCTGCTCAGGAAAACTGGTGCCTGGGTAGAGGAACTGTTGAGGTGTGCCCCGAGTGTGGCTAGCATGGATAAGGCAGCCAGGAATCCTTGCCTGAAGTATGTCATTAATTAGCAGCTTGCCTGAGAAGCCTTCAGACTGGTGTGAATAAAAAGCCAGCTGTTGTGTGTTTACCCCCCAGAGTCGTTTGTCCTTAGGTGTGTTACTTCCTGGACACCATGGGGGAGGAATTGCGTAAGTCAGTCATTCTGTGCATCAGCACCGCACAGTGACTACCCTTCAAGCCTCCCTGGCTCCAGTGGGTCACTTGTTATGCAAACCTGGGACCCTGACTCTGGGGGCAGAGGTCATACTGACTTCTTTTTAACTTGGGACTTCTTCTTCCCAAATTTAGATTGTGAAGACCTCATTTTCAGTGTGACTGTTAGAAAGGGTTCTGGAGATGCAGTCGGGGACACTGGAGAGCGTTCCAAGTCCTCACACTCATGCAGTTTGTTTAACAGAACTTATCCCTCTCCTCTTATGAGATTTAGCAAAAATTCTCAAATGACTCACACGTGTTTTTAGACTTAGTACTCATGAGAGTGTCTGAGAACACATGGCAGGGCAGGACTGGGGTTCAGGGTTTGATGACTTCCCTAGTATTTATTAAGGCTCTGGATTCAATCCCTAGCCACACAAACTAAAAGCCAGGCAACAGGAAAGGGCCGTGGTGCTAACGGCTGTGATGCAGCCATCAGATGTGGCCCCCGAGGGGACTAGGTTAGGAACAGCTCACGAGGCACGACAGAGAAACTGGGTAAATACTCTTTTTTTTTTTTTTACGATCTGCTTAGCATTTTTTTTTATTGAGAAAAGAAAAAAAAAACAAGTTTCCGCCTCCTCCCAGCCTCCCATTTCCCTCCCCCTCCTCCCACCCTTCTCCCCCTCCCCCCACTCCTCTCCCCCTCCCTCTCCAGTCCAAAGAGCAGTCAGGGTTCTCTGCTCTGTGGAAAGTCCTAGGTCCTCCCCCCTCCGTCCATATCTAGGAAGGTGAACATCCAAACTGGCTAGGCTCCCACAAAGCCAGAACATTAAGTAGGATCAAAACCCCGTGCCATTGTCCTTGGCTTCTCATCAGCCCTCATTGTTCGCCATCTTGAACTGAGAGTACTCACCAAGCTATTGGCTGCAGTTTAGACATTAAAGTACTAATATCCACTTTCTTTTCTTAAGCTAGGAGTATGCCTCTCTGATTTGAAAGAAACCTGAAGTTAGAAGCATTTCAAAAGCACCCTAGCAGACACCGAGCTCCTCATGGAGTCCCACTATGTGCTTGTCTCTTGTGCAGATGATGGTTTATTCCATCCATCCACATACGTGGGGGCTCTGTTGATCTGTCATTGTGGTGTTCTCACCATATAGCCCAGGCTGGCCCAGGCTGGCCCAGGCTGGCCCAGGCTGGCCCAGAAGCCAAGATCCTTCTGCTACAGCCTCCCACGTGTTGGGATTGCAGTTGTATGCTTAGATAAGCAGGCAGACTTTCTTACTGGTCATTTCAACGAATAACGAAATGAAGGAGTTCACTGTAGCCTTGCTCTAACATGACTGAAAGCAGGACACCATCACCTCTGGTGAGGGGATCAGTGTATGTATATCCTCCTTTATGGCCACAGAGAAAGGGAAGTCATGGCGTATGACAGGAAAAGGTGTGTTTCTTGTGCTTGGGATGGTTACTTCTGCCTTTGGCTTCTACCCAAAGTCCATTTGTCCTTTCTTGCCCTCGCCTTCCCCAGGTTAGTAACCCCAGATTTTGTCCTTACAAATTAAGGGTAAAGTCTGATTCCATAGAATTTATTAGCGTCTTCTAGGTTTCCTTTCTTGCTGCCATGTTGTTGGTTGGAGAGGGTGGCAGCCATGTGGCAGTAAAGGCTGTCTGAAGTCATCACGTCATTGCCCGTGTCTGCCTAGCCAGGGAGAAGTAAAGCCCCATCCACTGTAAATGGAGGCAGCTTTTCTTTTGTCCTGACTGCCAGGTCCCAAACAATCACACAGAAGCTTAATATTAATTGCAAAATGTATAGCCTATAGCTTGGGCTTATTACTAACTAGCTCTTACAGCATAACCCATTTTTATTCATCTCTATTTGCCACATGGCTAGCCACTTTACCTGTCTGCTAGGATCTTGCTTTTCTGCTGGCTGGCTCGCATCTCTCTCTTGAGCTCTCCCTTCTTCCTAAGTTTGGTTTTCCTACCTAGCTAGCCTTATTCTGCCTTGCTATACGCCCAGTCAGCTTTATTATTAACCAGCGAGAGCAATACTCATTCACAGCATACAGAAGGATTTTCCCACAGCAGTTCATTTTCCTCTCCTGTAGTGCTTCTCGAGATCCTGATGGGCTCAGAGTCTCATGGGCTGCTTGGTAGATGTGTGCTCACTCCTCCCAGTTTCCTGGTCTGTCCTCTCCCTTGCTCATTCTTCTGTGTACACCTGGTAAGATCCTCAAAAGAGGCACAGGATCCCAGTTCAATATTCTGACTCACTAGGGCAATGTTCTTCTGGCTTCACGCCTCCACTGCCCGATGCTGCCACCCCAATGTCCATGCACACCCCTTCTCCAGGTCTTGGGTCCCCAGACCCCCTTGCTTCACAATCATTGCCAAGATCCCAGTATCTCTCCATGTGTCAGAACCTGTGGCCCTAAGTGACTACACCGGCATGGCAAGCCGGTGCAAAGCAAGTGCCCACCCTGGAGGCAGGCCCTCCTTGCACAGCCCAGCTCTTCCTTTGATGGTCTTCTTGCCCTTTGGTCCCACTCTGTAGGTGGAGCAGCAGTTGGCTTATCACCCACAGGCTGAGAGAAGCCAGCAGCACACTGAGTTTGACAGGCAGCTGTAGGCCCCTTTGGAGGGCACAGGCACCACTGAAAGCTTGTCCTCCTAGAAGAGAAATTCTAGACCTTTGACCTCATTCCTTAAAGTGGTGTGACTGGCAGAGAGAAGTACTTCTTCTTAAAGAATAGTGTAACCCAGAAAAAGCTAAATACGCCATTCTCTCTCTCTCTCTCTCTCTCTCTCTCTCTCTCTCTCTCTCTCACACACACACACACACACACACACACACACACACACACACTATAACTTAGTAGGTCTTGCTTGTAGAACTCCCAACAGAGAGATGTACTTCTTTCTTCTTAAAGAATAGTGTAACCCAGAAAAAGCTAAATACTCCATTCTCTCTCTCTCTCTCTCTCTCTCTCTCTCTCTCTCTCTCTCTCACACACACACACACACACACACACTATAACTTAGTAGGTCTTGCTCGTAGAACTCCCAACACCTACTGCTCTGTGTCATCACTTTGGTGACCCTCTTTACTCCCAACACCTACTGCTCTGTGTCATCACTTTGGTGACCCTCTTTACTCCCAACACCTACTGCTCTGTGTCATCACTTTGGTGACCCTCTTTCTGACTAGCCTCTCGTTTCTGTTCCCAGGATGGCTGCTGCATCGCTTGGCTGCCATTCTTAGTTTACATCCCAGTTGACAGACACCACTGCTGCTCTGGAGAAGGAAGCTGGGCCTTTCCAGACAGGTGTCTGTGCAGCTTGTTATGGTATCAGCCTTCAGGTGGTTTTTGACATACAAAGGAGTTCCACAGTAGCCTGGAATGGAGTGTAACAAATGTTTATTTATTTGGGGATAACTCACAGAAAGAGTAGCAATCTAGAGTGCTGGAAACTGGAACTTAATCCACCATTCAAGAGGTCCTTGCAATGCTTTTCATCTGCATTTATAGTACATGAAACCACGCCCAAAGTGGGCCGGTATCTTAAAGGCAATTGGCTGAAGGAGTTCCCACAGCAAGGCAGCAGGTTGTTTAGGAACAAGTAGGTAGGTTCCTTAAGGGTTTAGTGTACCTGTGGCAGGAAGTCTGTTCTAGTTTCTCATTCATAAATGTCTGCCTCTCAACCAAAAGATGTGTTGGGTGCTACCCTCGTTCTGAGCAGAGAACCAGCCCTGTCACAATGACGCTGAAGTCTCTTGTGCACACCAGCACCCCTCACTTCTAGGTCTCACTGTAAGAGTCTGCTGCTGGCTTATGCTCACAGTGGTAAGGAACTTAAAGCATTGTAGTCATGGCTTTAGGCCTTTCTTACCTCATACACCAGATTTTGTTATTAGGTCTATCACGATGCGTTTTGCAGTCTTCCATAACAATGGTTAAAATTCTGTGTATGTGTGTGTAGGTGGGAATGGTGTGTGTATGTTGTGCACACATTTATATAGAGATGTATACATCTGTACAGAGGCCAGAAGAGGACGTTGAATATCCTGTTGTATTACTTTCTTTTTTTTTTGTTATTTATTTATTTATTTATTAAAGATTTCTGTTTCTTCCCCGCCACCGCCTAGTCCCTAGACGAGGTCTCTCACTGGAATCAGTTCTGGCAGCCACCCAGCCCCAGAAATCCTCCTGCCTCCTCCCCCTCCTCCCCTTCCCTAGAACACTGGGGTTCCATGGGGCATGTGCAACAATCATGCCAGCTTTTTATGCGGGCTCTAGAGATTTGAACTGTTGTCCTCATGCATGTACATTAAGCTAGCAGGCGGCCGGGGTACTGGGGACACAGCCCCGCCGCTCCTATTACAACAAGAGGGGACACACACGGACACACACATGAATTACAAAGCAGGAGATAAATATATACACACATGATGGGGTCTATCTGATCATCTCTATGGATCCATATGGTCATAGAGTAGAAAAGGAACCCACAAGCATCAAGGGCGGCCAGGAGAAGGTACTGATCAAAGTATTATGTGCACATTGACCGCATCACACCCAAGCCCATTACTTTGTTAGATTGCTTTCTCCACCGCCTCACAAGTGTGGGTGAGGGCACCGTCTGCACAGATGTCCCCATAGTCACTTTAGGTCACTGTGGCCACTTCTGTACTTCTTCTCCCTTTGTATGGTGGCTTCTAACAGGCAACTGTACTTATTCCCTTACAATAACAGGGCGACCCAGAAACAGACCGTGACAGCAAGAAAATCAGATTGCAGAAGGATGTCCCCTCACACTGTGCTTCGTCTTCGTCTTCCCACACTGAGTCTTCCAAGACGAAGTGAGTAAGGCAGGTGGGATCAACCGGGGCAGCTCATTGGCCTTGGGGGTGACAGGACAGAGAGCTTTCTCCTGCACCAGAACCTGCCCTGGCACTGCTGACTTGTGAGTTCATTCGTGTAGGTCTCGTCCACAGAGGCCTCGTGAGAACTGGCACTCCTATCAGCAAACCTAGATTTAGCGAAAACATTTCCACTAAGGAGCATTTCCGAGGATTACTCTTTATAGTGGCATTGAGGGTGAGCTCAGGGACTAGCTAAGCACGGTGCTCTGCCTCCCAGCTGTCTCTTGCTAGATTTCTCTTGCCAGTGGAGGAGCACTTATAGTAGGCAATGAGGTCCTAGACTGATTTAATCCCTACTACTGTGTAGGCATAGGGACAGAGAAGAAAACACTATTGCTATTTTAGCAGGATAGAAAATGGGGAAAATCTGCTCAAAGCCCTGGGTTCCTCCTACTGGGTGTTGCTTGGACTTGGGGTAGCTCAGGCTCAGTGCCTGCCTTAGAGACAAGAGCTACGCGGCTTTTGTGCGTGAGTGCAAGAGACATGGCAGATGTCAGAGTGGTGTCAAGGCGGTGTGACCATAAACAGTAACTTAAACTTTCTCTCTCAGGCTTATTCAAGAAATTTCCTCACAAGAGACTTGGCAAACTCAAGGGCATTTTCGGGGGTGGGGGTGGGCAGGGGAAGCATAGCAGCAGACGCAGGAGCGTGACGGGGGTGGCATCAGTAGCCCAGCCTGCCTGTTTGTCAGGGTAAAGCGCAGATAGATGAGAGATGGGGTGGCCAGAGACTTCCAGCTTAGTGAAAACTCCAGGTTGTGAGACCTTACAGGGCAGCAACCCTCAAACCTGACCCTTCTGCAGCGCAATCAAAGGACAGAATGTGATGTGTGTTCTGCTTTGACTGCCCTTGCTCCCCAGGACTCCCAGGCCCCCCTCGGAGTCCTCAAGAAAGGAAATGCTTCCTCCTCCACCTGTGTCATCCTCTTCCTCCTCCTCGTCGTCTTCCTCCTCCCAGAAGTCAACCAAAACTGCACACAAGAGGTCAAAGCCGGATGCAGAAGCCTGTGGTCAGGATCCTCCCAAAAGTGCCAGCAGTACCAAGGGCAATAAGGACTCCTCCGTTCCCAAGCACAGAAAAGTGCAGGCCAGGGGCTCGGAGCACAAAGTAAGCAGCAGCGATGGGCGAGGCAGAACAAGGGTGGCCAGGACATTGGTCTGTTTTAGTTTGACAACCTCGAGCTGGGTTTAAAGAGCAAATGGGGTAGGGGCCCTTTATTAAAGCAAACCATAGGAAAAATCAGACTCGCCTTCATAATGCATTTCTACCGCAGGTTCAGATGCTTGGCTTGAGAAATGGGTTAGTTCAGTTCTTCTTGGATACTTCAGTTATTGATCGTAATGGGAAATAAGTCAGGAGACCTGGCTTCCAGTTAGCCTGGGGCGTGCTGGGGGCTGGGAGACTGCTTCGCTGGGTGTTCCCTGCTCTTCCCCTGTAGCTCCAGTTAAATCCCTAGCTCAACCACCGTCTGACTTACTGGGCACACTGTGATTGCTGCTGGGGCAGTGATCCTCTCTGCTGAGGGGTGATGTGCATGTGTTTTCAAGGGGTCTTCTGGAGAACTCGCAAACCCGTTCCCAGTGCCTTCTTTGCCAAATGGTAACTGTAAACCAGGGAAGCCACAAACGAAGCCTGACAGGTAAGCGCCCCCTTTCCTCCTCCCCTATTTCCTTTACTGCTTCCCCCACCCCTTCTTCCCCAGTCCAACACTACTGCCTTTATTTCACCCCACCCCCTTTTCTCCTGCTTCACTCCCTTTATTTCCCCTCCCCGCTTTGTTTCTCCCTGCCCCCCCTTTCTCCTTTTTCATCTTTTCTTGCCCCAGGTAGACATTTTCGGTTTGTATGACTCACACCTGCCTTTCTTCCTTATTTTTGCAGACATCAAGCTGATTTTCATATGAAGGAGGCTAAAAAATTGAAGTCCAAAGCAGAGGCAATGGTCAGTCTTGGTTTTATGTCCTTGGTTAAACTGGGGCCTCCGTTCTGCCATGTTCCCCACCATGGCGTATATGGATGGGGCAGCAGGTGGGAGGACCATGTGACAGTGGGTTCTGGGGTGGGGTATGGCTGCTGTTAGCCACAGTGTAATGTGAGCAGGATAATCAGGGTCTTCATGACTGTCCCCCAGGTCGTTTAGGGGGACAGTGTGCAGTCTGACTGTATACAGACTTACAAACTGAATGGAAGTTGGTCTATGGGATGTTGGTTTCATGCTTTTTCCCCCAATTCACTACATTCATCCTTGAGATGCACAAAATGAATTATTATTAAATCAGTCTGTCTCCACCCTCAGCACTGTACAAGGTGAGGAAGCCTGTTTGCACCCCACGGTGATCTTTTGCATGATAGTTGGCCATGGGAAGGCAGTGGCCAGTGCAGGCTATAAACATGTCCTCACTTGCAGCAACTCTCCTAACCTGTGAGCCTCTGAACTTCTGCAAGGGGGATGGTTTGCTGTTAACTGTAGACATCTGAAGTAATAAGGGCGGTGTCGGGGCTGCGTCCCCAACACCCCAGCCGCCTGCCCGGCTAGCTTATGCCCCAAAATAATTGCACGGACCTTGTATCCTTTTAATCACTGCTTGGCCCATTCTCTTCTAGGCTAATTCTCACATATTAATTTAGCCCATTTCTAATCATCTGTGTGTAGCACCCCAAGGTGCGCTTACCGGGAAGATTCTAGCCTATGTCCATCCTGGGTCGGAGCTTCATCCCGGGAGCAGGGCATGGCGTCTCTCTCAGGCGTCTGCTCCCAAGAGCAGAGCTGTCGAGACTCTGACCTCACTTCCTGTTCCTCCCAGCATTCTGTTCTGTTTTTACTCCTCCCACCTATCTTCTAACCAATAAAATGGGCCAGGGCAGTTCCTTTATTAGCCAATGACCTTCCTCCATCAGACATCAAGTGTGGTCTTATGTCTGTGCAGCAATTTAGTGGGGTCACATGTGCCCTGAGTCTTACATTTATTGGGGTGAGGGTTGTGCCACAGTCAGCAACAGCTCTCTGAAGTCAGTTCTCTCTGTCCACCGTGGGGGTCTCAGGGGTCAGACCATGTCGTCAGGCTTGGGAGCAAGCATTTTTGCCCACTGGGCCATGTCATTAGCCTCCTGGAAGGTTCTCTGGACAGACTGCCTCTGGAGCCATGTGCAAACCTGTTGACTTTTTGTGACTTTGTCCCCTTTTGCCCATTGTAACTTTGGCCTATGCCTTTCTACCCCAGGTTGTGGGTTCCCTGATAAAATGGTCCTTGTGCTGTGAGGGATCTCCGCAATCCCCTTTTGGCCCTAGCACTGCCGCTACCCCATACGTGGGCTGTGTGACAGCTCATCCCGTGCCAAGCAGCGCTGTGTTCTCTGCTGCCTCTTTTCCAGTGCCAGGCTGCTGCAGGAGCTGCACAACTCTTTCCGTTGGGGGCGACTACTGTGCACCATAGGCAGATACCAAAAGATTACCTGACCTTAGACACCATTAGCTTTGGACTGCGTGGGTATTCAGAAGAGCTTTGAAGTGTCTGAAATGCAGGCACATGCTTGTGTATGTGCACGGATGTGCGTGTGACACGCCAGTTTATTCCTCTAGTGGTGGTAAGATGTGGATCGCAGTAGCAGGGGAGAGCCGTTTCCCTGCCCCTGGCACACAGCGGCAGAGCAGCCTCAGAGGGATCAGCCTGTTTGCCACGTGCATCTTTGCTGTTTTCTCCCCTTTGGAACACAGCAGATGGGAGCATTAGCAACACCTACAAGCTGACCCAGGTTAGCCAGATGCGCTCAGTGTGTGTTACTTATGCCACGTGCAGGGAAATGGACCGTTTGCCACGTTACCGCTCAGCTGAACTGGCCACGCCACTCAGCAAGATCAAGTGACCCACTGTGTCTTCAGGATGGTGGCAGACCACCAGTATCAAGTGTGTTCATATTCACACATTTCCTTGAGGGGGTTTCGAGAGTTTGTCCTTGTTGGCCCAGGGCATGTCCTTGTACAAAAACACCAACATGCCAAAGGATATTAATAGTCTGTCGGGCTCCAAGTCATCAAGTGATCAGTGAGATATTTTATACAAGATGATAAGCCTCAACCTCCACAAGGAAACCCATGTCTGCTCTGGATGTTGGCTCGCCTGCTTCTCGAAGGTAGCCTGTGAGTGACTGGATCACAGCCACTAATGGGGCTGTGCCCTTTTGTTTGGTGAAGTTCCAAGAGTCATATTAATATAGGATTTCTTTCTTTTTCCTTGTGAATTTTTGCTAGAAGACTCTTTCCATAGGTCAGAGCTGACCACTATGGCTATTCATCTGCTCTGTTTGTTCTTTCTCATGTCTCTCTAATCAGGAGTACATAAAGAAGTTCCAGGGCAGAATGTGTGGGTAAGAAACTGAGCGGGCACTCCCTGTGGTCTCACAGAGCCTGTGTCTTCCCCCACAGGCGGACAAGACTGGAAAGGCCTTCAAGTATTTGGAAGCCGTCCTGTCTTTTATTGAGTGTGGGATGGCTACGGAGTCAGAAAGCTCAGCAAAGGCGGCGTACGCTGTCTACTCAGAAACCATAGACCTCATTAGGTAAGTACTGGGGTGTTGAGCGTCCTCCAGGCCTGCCTCTCTCCTTGCTGGGTGTGAGGACAGTACCTGCCTGTTGCGACCCAGGCTCTGTTACTTTTTTCCGAATTAAAGTGTGTTGTAGACCAGGGAACACAGCATAACTGGGTGCAACAAGGCCATTTTGGCGAGTGCTCTGAAGAGAACACCGAGTCTCAGGAGGGTGCTTTTCCCAGCTTAGGTTTCCTATCAGATGTCTCCTCCAGTCCATGCTCCCTGCATGTCATGGAGGTTTAGTGAGGATGTGGTCAAGCTTGGTTGCAGGAGAGAGCAGGCCAGGTCTTCTGAGCGGCTTGTGGTTGCTCTTAACCCCTGCGCTTCTGTGCCGCACATAACACATCTTCATTTCCTCTGGAAACCGGAGAGGGAGCTAGGATGGTCAGCACACCTAGGCTCCTGTACCCGATCTGTTTAATCTCAGACACTTTTGTCTCCCTGCAGGTTCACAATGTCACTAAAACCCTTCTCAGATACCACGGCGCCAGCACAAGAAAAGATATTTGCTGTTTTATGGTGTGTAAAATTTGATTCGTTATATAAATAGCACTTTCCTTTGATTAAACTTTATATAAAAATTTTTTTTGAGACAAGGTCTCTATATAACTCTGACTGTCCTGGAACCCTTGAGTTTGAGATCCACCTGCCTCTGCCTTGCCAGTGCTGGGATTAAAGGTATGCCACCACAACTGGCTCTAAATTTATTTTCTTAAAATGAAATTTTAAGGAGGCAGGTGAACGTGACCATGGTCATCAGGAAATGGTGTCTGCCGTGCTCTTCTGCCCCCTGGGGGGCTGCTCTGGTCTCAGGACTCAAGCGATGTTTGTGCTCTTGTTGCCAGCGTGGCAATGTGCAGTGTTGTGCCCGAGGGGAGAACCCAGTGTGCTCACAAGCGCCGCTTGGCAGAGTCTCTCAAGGCAGGAGCTCTGGCCTTGAGGTCACCGCAGTTCAGAGTAACCTCTGGTTTTGTTCGCAGTTTGCGTTGCCAGTCCCTGGTGAACATGGCGATGTTTCGCTGTAAAAAGGATGTAGTAATGAAGTATTCTCGCACGCTTAGTGACCACTTCAAGAGTTCTTCCAAAGTGGCCCAGGCACCTTCTCCGTGCATGGCAAGGCAAGTGTTAAGTATGGCTAAACAATGCCCAGCCGTGTCATTCACCTCTTGCTTATGTGACGCTTTATGTCCATGTGACTTCGGGTTCTTCAGAAATCATGTAGTTGGCCCTCATGTGCACTGGCTCCCTAAACCGAAGCCGTTTAGGCTAAAGTGATAACATACACGGTACAGAGTAAGTCCCAAGATTCCCAGTGGGTTGCCTAAAATTACAGCCAGTACTGGCCTTCTGAGGATCCCCCACACGTGTTTTTTTCTACGCAAGATTTCCCTACTGCTGCCAGCACATACTCTGTGAACAGAAACCGCTCGCTTGTGCTGTCAGGTGAGTGTTGGAATGTGTCTCTCATGGTCCTGCCCAGTGCAATTTGTTGTCTAAGACAGGAACTCACTCTATAACCCAGGCTGGCCCCCAAATTTGTGCTCTTTCTGTCCCACCGCCCAAGTGCATATAGCACTGTATCCGTGTTTGGTTTCTTGTCCGTCACGGAGTCCTGTTTCTTCTGGGCCTTGCTTTTAGAGAGCATTAAATATAATACAGACCCATTTGTAGCAATCAGAAAGGGAGGGTCTTCAAACGGCCTCTTACAGAATGTCCTTTGCTCTTTTGGGCAGCACATATACTAAAGTCGGAACAATACAGAGAAGATTAGCACAGCCCCTTTGCGAGGATGGCACACACGTTTGTGAAATGTTCCATTAAAAAAAATCGTAACGGAGCCTAGACCAAGGGCATATGCTGTCAGTCATTAGCTAGGGTGGCTTCATAATAACCCTCGCACTGCCAGGATGCAGCAGTGACCGCCGCTCTGGGCAGCTCTGACCGCATGGCAGCGTCTGCCTGACCCGTCTTTCCATCTTTTGTCATGCTTACGTGATGGAGCTTTTCCGTCCTCTGACCCAACTGAAGCATGTAAACTTGTAGGACCAGGAGGAGAGGTCGTGGGGCTCCTGAACCCCAGTCACTGTGCCCAGCCTGCTGCTGGTCTGTTTGATCTGTGTTACTGACCCAGGAGTTGTTTTAGGAACCAGGCATGCACTTCACCTTTATGGTGCTGTGACCCAGGGAAGAAAGAGAAAGGTATAGTAAGTGATTCAGGCGGTGGCTCTGTGTGGCTCCACAGGTCTGAGAGTCAGGTCTGAGCTCAGAGGCTCCTGCCTACCATGTGTGAGGCCTCGATTTAGTGTCTAGCTCGGCAGAGGGATGAGGGAGGGAGTCACGGAAGATGAAGTCTGAATCCACAAGAGCATGGTGGCAACCCAGGTCAGTCTTCCAGATGTGCCTTTGATCTTGTAGGAGTGACTTTAGCAGTGATTACTGTTTTGGGGCACACACCCTGAAATTTAGACTGCAGTCTAGAGTCTGTGATCTGCACGTTTGTGCAATTAACCAAGTCTCTCTCTCTCCATCCTTGCAGGAGCACAGGCGTTCCGTCTCCCCTCTCCCCAATGCCTTCTCCTGCCAGCTCTGTGGGGTCCCAGTCAAGTGTTGGCAGCATGGGGAGCAGTGGGGTGACGGCCACCATCAGTACCCCAGTCACCATCCAGAACATGACCTCCGCCTATGTCAACTTCACAGCCCACGTCCTTAAGGCCTTTGATCTGTGGGATCAGGCAGAGGCCCTTACAAAGAAGAATAAAGGTAAGGGGCTCTGTGGCGGCAGCCAGTATGGCATGCGGGTGGGAGATGTTTCGGCCCAGCTTTACATTCTCTCTCACGAAGCAAAAGAGACGGGCAGTCTCTTTTCCTAGTCCCTCTGCTCTGCTTCATAACCAAGTTCCAGATCTTCCTTGAGGTCTGTGGTGTGAGCTAGATTCCTGAGGCTAGATCTCTGCCTTTAGCACTCTGCCTCCTCACGGATGTTGGCATCGTTGTTTCAGCCTGAACTGAAATGTTAGCGAAAGAGCAGAGCGGAGCGAGCTGTGCTCCGGCTGTCCCATGTCTCAGCACACTTGGGATGGAGCGGCACGGCCCCAGGGCTGAGTTTGTGTGTTTCCAGCATTCATTAAGATGGCTAGCTACAATCGAAGACATACAGCATAGCAAACATCACTGAGACCTAATTGGGAAGGGCCAGGAACTCCATCCAGGCTTGAGTCAGGGAAAGTGAATATACAAGTGCCCAGTGGAAGAAGATGGCCGGCGCCGGAGCTCTCGATTTCCCCACAGCCTCTTTGCCTTCTTGGCAAACTGTCCCCTCTCCTCTCATGCACCCGTTGCTCACGGCTCACCAGTCGGACACATGAACCACTGTTTTAGGAGTGAGTTCCGGGTTTTACTCAGAAGGGAGGGCTGTCAAGAATTAGCCACTCACAGATTCATGCTAGGCAAGCCACAGGATGCTGTGGGTATATGACCTCCAGACTTTGTTTTTATTGTAATTTGATCTGTACAAGTATTTACTCATGTTGGATTTGGATTTGATTGCAGACTTCTTTGCTCAGCTCAGCACAAAGGTGCGTATCTTGGCCCTCAACAGCAGCCTGGTGGACCTGGTGCACTACACAAGACAAGGTCTGCAGCGGCTGAGACAAGCTCCCAAAACTCCCTAGTACAGGCTGGGATTACTCGATGCCTTGGAATGTCTTTGCACAATTGGAAGCCTTGATCAGTGTAGACAGCTGTCCGACTGGGATGGCACACTCAAGAAGTGAAACACCATGAGATGGCCAGAATGCTTGCCCGCTCAAACTCACAAGAGCTGTGTGGCCATCGGTTGGACGCTGGTTAGCAGAGCGGACGGTGGGAAATGATCTGCCTTTCCTAACGGAAGGACAGAAGTGCAATGGAGCCTAGCTGGCACATGGATGGTCTAGCAACATTTCTGTTTGTTTGTTTGTTTGTTTTTCTGTTTGTTTGAACAATAGGATACAATTTGCAGAGGAAAGGACGAGAAGCAGTTTCTGGTCCACGGCAGATTCCTGTCATCTCAGTGGCCACATAAGTTCACTTCCAGAAGGAATTTTTTTTCAAATAATAATTTTTGGTGAAGGGTTTTATGGATATATTTTTTCTTTTCAAGTTTTAAAGAAAATATTGTTTAATAAATTGTGATGGCCACCTGTAAAGCAGAAGTCGTGAAGCTCCACTGTGCTACTTCCTGCAGTGAACAGTGGTTCTGGTGACTGTCATCATTTAGAGAACTGAAGGGGCCGCCCTCCCCCGCCGCCCCCCCGTCCCCAGTGCCTAGAGTCCTGCACTGTCTAGCTCTGGCTTCCTCGGGTCTGTCCTAGAGGAGTGGCAGCGTCTAGATCCAGGATCCATCTTATGGTCTTCCCCACATCCCAGGTAGTCCTGCACTCCCTGCCTCCCGCCACCACACTCCTGGAAAGTGACTGGCTAAGCAGCACCCGTGGTGCATGTGGGCAAAGGGAGCCACTGTTGTTTGCCTTGGGTGGGAGGCGGACGGACTTCCTCATCTGTCAGAGTTCCCGGTGCTGACAGTGCCGTGGCAACTCGTCCTCAGTCAACGAAAGTGAGGTCTTCCTACAGAAGCTGTATTTTTCTGCTACAAATTATTTTATATTTATAGCAAAACTCAACCTTCCAAAGCCCTTTGATTATCCAGGGGATACTGCCTCCCCAAAAGGATATGGAGATTTGGGGTTTGGGAATCCACTACCACACACCCTCAGTCCAGACTTCTCAGGTACGGTGATTGGATACTGAAGACCTGTGACCTTCCCCAGCCATACCCACCCCCATTAATCAAGTCCACGTCCACAGAGTGAGAGCACACACGGACTTCACACCTGCCCATAAGCACAGGCCTTTCACTGAGAGTCACAAGTGAGTACTGGAATGCTAAAAGCCAATTCTCTATCCCTGCAGAAAGTAGAATTTGCACGTGTTATGACTGTTTTTCCCCTCCCTCTCTCCCTTCCCACCCATCTCCACTTGCTACCAGCCTTGCTGTGTGTTTGTATCTAGAGATGAGTGGAGATGGAAGACCCATCTTAGTGAGGGTGCCTAAGGTCCCTGGGGTGGGGGACAACTTTCTTACCTTGGTAAATCCACACAGGGGCTGCAGGTGGGTATGGTGCCAGGTGTTGGTGCGACACTCCTCGGCTTCTCAGCTTTGGATGGAGCCAGAGAAATGGCTACCTTGTGCGTCTCTGAGCACAGGCTGAGACCAATGGAGCAGTTTTTTATTAATGTTTCCTGTAAAGTTCTTGTTCACTGAGCACGTGGTCAGTTGTCCCCGTCACCTCTCGAGCAGAGTCTGGCTTGTGTAGTCTCATACGGCTCTTTTCCCTTCTCCCATGGCGGTCTGTATCCCTTGCTGTACCGTGGAAACGAGCTGCCCGTCAGTTGTGACCGGTTCTAGTCTAGACAGATTTTGCCAAAGCATGTGTGTCCTGCCAGTGGCCCACTGTGCCCCTTGACTGAACACGCTTAGCCAGTGCAGGAAGAACGGGCCACCTCGTCCTTTGTACTGGATGTGTTTTCTCAATTCTCTATACTCCAGTTTCATTTGTACCTTGAAAACTAATGAATTTGGACAGACCTGTTTGTAGCAATTTGGTGTGTAGATGAGAAAGAGAGGGAACACAGTGGCCGATGAGTGCTGCTGCTGCTCACTGTAGAAACCTGAAGATCATGTAAACAATTCGCACATTTCACTATATGCTTACAATTCCCCAGGGCAGCACTTTCCCAAGGCGATTCATCCGGAAGGACTATAAAATGAACCCCTTGAATGTGTGATGCTATAACCATAGAAGAGTATATACTTGCTGGTGAGGGAAGCAGCGTGTTGGAGAGTGAAGGGCAGTCTTGCCTTTGCCTTACAATGGGTGTGGATGGCCATACATGTAGAAGCCCTTCTAGATCATAAAAAATCCTGTCGCTTTCCTTCAAGGAAAAGGGAGCAAGGATTGCACGGCAAGTGTATCCTCTGGACAGAAAGGACCCCACCCACCCCTCTGTGCACTCTAATTCTAGGTCTTAGGACGTTTAGAGTGGGCTCTTCCCCGTCTTGATTGAAAATGTGCCTTAACTGACACCTTATGTATTCATGTTAGGGACAGGACCTCAACCTTAGTATTCCTGCTTAGAAAGTGCTGTGTGCTGCACAGCTACGGTCCCGATGCAGAGGATGAGATTTGTCTAGACGTATTTGTGCCTTTGTTGACCAAACAGCTTCTCAAGTGATGCTCTTTATTTTGCCACGGCTTCAAGGGCTGATGTTTACTTTGCTGCTTTGTCAAGTCTGAGGTCTGTGCATCTTAAGGTAAATGAGTTGGGCTTTACAAAAATATCTAAACTCTTTCCATGCCCCCTGCAAATCCCTCCTCTTGGTGATCTACCTTTCCCAACACTACCAATGCACCACTTCGTTGTTCATTCTTTCCCGCTGCTTAGAAGTATTTAAATCTCCTGAGAATATTCCAGGCTCCTTTAGAGACACAGAAGTGTAGGTTTTTCTGAGAATGAGCCAACTGCTCTGCAGCTGTGGGGAGGGTAGGTTCCATTTGGATGCCTACTTCTCCCTGCCTCCTTCTGTTGGTTTTGGTCTATTTGGAAATAATGGGTGTGAGGATGTTTCCTGTGCCTTAAGGGATGTTAAAGGGCAGAAGGGCATGATGTTGGGGTTTTCCTTCAAATTCTGTAAGTGGTATTTCTGCCAGGTGGTCCTCCAGTGTGCAGTCCAGTCATGCTGGCTTCCCACTGAGAACAGTCACCTGTGGCCATGCCCTTCTAATGATGATTGACAAGCACATTTCTTCAGGCGGCTGTGAGTTTCCTAGGGGTGAATGACACACTATATTCTGCTCCACTGTGCGTCCCACATTGCAGTCACTGTGATGACCGAAGTGCCTCTTTCCCTACCTAAGAGGGAGCCAGAGGACGGGAAGGAAGCCTCGAACTCCCTACATCTGTCCATAGGACGGACACTGGAATAAGGCCACTGACACGCAGGCCACGCTGCATTGCTGGGCCGCACCGTGGTTGACCTGAGGAAGATGAACTCGCTTTGCCTAGGTGTTTTAGCAGTACTCAATACAGGCAGTATTAAGTTTGCCTTTTGTTCAGGCCACGATGTGTATTGCTAATACTGCACACCCTCACAATCTCATGCTGGGGTATGTGCATGTCTGTTCCGAATCTTGTTTTAATTTTTTCTGAATGTGATCATGTTTTGGATGATACCTGAGCAGGGTTGCCTTTTTTATTTATTACCATTATATATTATATTATATATTATATATTTTCTTTCTTATAATGTTAGAGGAAAGTCAAATCTTGGTATTATTAAAATTGCTTTAAAAAGGAATAGGTTGCCCAGGTGATACTGCAAATCACTGGTTTGTTTTCCTTTGATTGCCATGGAATACTGTGCCAGCCGTCACCGACACGATGGGTCTGTGCAGGCTGGGGAGCCTCTGCTCCCAGTGAAGATGGAGAGCAACAATGGGAAACACCACATTTTTATCAGCTTCAGCAATGAGACTGCAAACTTGGGGCTTTTGTGAATAAAATTTAGCTGCCTTGTAGAATCCTTTGAAAGAGGCAGACATGATCTGTGAGAATTTTTTTAAAAGAAAATCTGCAAAAGATCTTTCCAAAGATAATGTGCCACAGATCTTTTGTTCTTCTCTGTATTGAGGATTAAATGCTATTTTAAATGTAATTGACTTGTTCATCTTCACAGTCTTTCCACAAGATCAAACTGTAGAAAAAATATTTAATAAAAATTTAGAGAAATCATTGGAGTTGAAACTGTGGTTTTTATTTTGCTCAAATATGGTGATGCTTGTTTGTTTCTTGGGCCAGGGCCTGTCTGACACCAAGGCCAAGCTCGGGCTCACAGGTCCTCCTGCCTTGCCTTCCCACTGCTGCCACAAATGGCCACACCAGGCAGCCTGCAAATCTGCCAGCTCCAGTCAGCGTTGTCTCTCACGCTCCCACGACTTCCGCTGCATCCACGGTGCGTTCAGATTGTTGATATGAGGAAAGGAGGAAAGAATGCCATGTCACATGCTTCAGTTTGCTGTTGTAACAGACAAGCTTGTGGAGTCCTCAGCCAGCGCTGAAGGACTGGAGGCCGTCTGGCCCTAAGGTAACACCGCACCAAGACTCCGGCTCTGACTTCTTGGATTTGAACCTCAGCTCTCTAGCTCTGTGGCTTTGGATGTGTGACTTAACCTCTCTGGTGTTGTCGTTCATGTGCTTTCTACTCCATCAGACTAAGAAGGCCATGGAGATTGGTTTAAACCCATTTTCAATTTTCCTCCTCTTCGTCTTGATGACACAGACCCATGGAGCAAGCAAGGTGAGTAGCGTTGGTGTGGGAAGTGGTGATCTCAGCTGAAGCGGGCCTTGAGAGATGAGCCATCAAAGACAGTCCTCCGTGTGATATTTATATCACAGAGACTTGTACGACCTTAGATGTCGGCAGTGGCTGTACTTTCACCAGCCGTCTGTTAGGTGCCGAGACTCACAAAGCAATGACTCTCAACCTGTGGGTAGTGACCCTTTGCCAAACCTGTATCTCTCGAAGTATTTGTATTACGATCCATGACAGTAGCAAAATTATAGTTATGAAGTAGCAATGAAAAGGACTTTGTGGCCGGGGTGTGTGTGTGTGAGAGAGAGAGAGACAGCATCAGGAAGGCTGAGAACGACTGGTATAAAGGAAACGTCCGTGAATAGCCCTGCAACAAAGCACATGAGGAAACGTCAGACTACTTGTTGGGTAAATTCTCGAAGTGGATTACGGAGTGCAAAGATGTGTCCGTCCCCGGTCCATACAGGAAACAGAACAAACAGTGCAGTGTCCCCCATACTGACCATTCTGCGTGCAAGTGTAGGTAAGCGGCACACATCTCAGAGTTGCACCTGCAGTGCAACCACGGCGCCACTGCAGAAGTCCCCCGCTGCCCTCCAGGGCGTGAGTAGGTTTTTAAGCATGGCTGCAACCATACTGTGCATTTTCTGTGGCCGTTGTGTCCGAGTACGGTGAGGGGCATGGCCCAGGCAATGCTCTGGCACTACACCACCCTTGGCGCTGTCTTGGTGAGCATTTAGATGCTGTGGGAGTTTGCGTTACCTGCAGAGACCTCTGTCTAGGGCCCACCAGAGCGATTTCAGTGCTCAGGTTCATTGGAGGTCTATGTTCCAGCTGTTTGGTTTTAGGAGCAGGGCTCTGAGCAGGTGTGGTTTCCCGGCAGACCACACTTTGCTGAAGCTGAGACTCAGGAGAGACACCAAGGCTCTCATAATGGAGGCCTTTGCCCTTCTGACAGACGGGAGTGTGGGCCTGGAAACACATTCCCAGACAGTTCTAGTTTAGCTGTAAAGGCCACGTGGCTCCTCTGGATAAACGCTTTAAACCCCCTTCCCTGTTCCTGGGCTGCCCCTAAGAAGAACCAATTATGAGTTTAATTTTACATAAAAAGCTACCAGTCTATCATCTGAGTTGTCAATAGTGGAAAAGAAGGGACCATTTTAAACAAGGGCTCAGGTTGTTCTTAGTATGCTAACAGAAAGAAAACCACAAAATAAATACAAATTTTAACAAGCCCGTTCTGAAGTTAGGCTTCTCACTAGGGCCAGTTTCCCAGATGTAATGTGCAGAATTGGCCACTAGATGGCAAATGTTTCCTTTGGCTTTAACCACAATGACATTTCACAGCTTGTAGAATGAAATAATCAAAAGTAACAACGCGGGGGGGGGGGGGGGGGGGGGGGAGATAAGAGAACTGAGAATTTTTTTTCTGGTGGAATATGGCATAACCACTTGACACAGCAGTGTATCAGGGTTTTAAAAAGTTAAAAACAAGTTACTCAAACCCCAGCAATTCTACTTGTAGAAGCACAGGTAAGAAAACACAGTTCATCACGGCATTCACCCACACAATGGCACTGCTCAGAGAGCCGCCATGGTGCCAGTGAGATGTGCTGTGTGCATGTAATGGAAGACCGTTTGGAACACGTTGTGACTGTGCATGAGGCAGACCTCATAAACATGAGTCAAGACCATACTGCATTAATGTGACATATTTATAGATGACCAACAGATCTGTGGCCACTGCCCAGAAAAGGGAAGGCTTGGGGTAACTCGGGGAGGTGATGAAGTGTTTCAAGTCTGAATTAGGAAGAACTGGCTCAATTCTGTAGTGTCACCAAGTCAGCACACAGTTACGAAAGTGTGGGAGAGCTGACCTCAAAGCCCTGCACTAGACCAGGGACTAGGAAACGAGAGGAGACAAACGGTGCTGTTGCTAGGACCCAAGTGACCCCGTCGGTCCTGCCTCTGGTTCCACTGCTGGTGGCCAGCAGCCGAGCAGCCGGGTGGGGAGAGAGGGCTCCAGGGGAAAGGCTTTGCTGTTTGTTATTAGTACCACTCATTCTGAAACAGTTATAAAGTTCCAGTCAGAATTCCTTCCTGGTCTGCCAGAGGCACTTCTGATGACTCACTGCACCTCAGTGCACCCGCTGCTACTTAAAATGAATACTGTTAGCTTCCTAACCCTAAGGTGCAATGTAACATTTTACAAAGGACACATTCAAGGGAAAGAAAACCTCGTGCAGTGACAGGTTATCTGCACCAAGTCACCAGACTGGGTCTAATTTTTTTTTTTTTTTAATCATCAAATTCACTCAAGAAACTGTAAGGGTGATAAGTATTTGACCAAAGTTCACTCAAGGTGGGGGTGATGGCACACAACTTAAATCTCAGGCCTCGGGAGGCATACAGGTGAGTTCGAGGATTGCTTGGTCTGAAGAGTGCGTTCCAGACCAGCCAGGGCTACAGTGAGAGCCTGCATCTGAAGATGCTCATTCTAGGACAGTCAGCAGACCTCACGAGAATGTGGTGCTGAGCGCGAGAACGGTGAGTCTTCACTCAAGGCAAGAGTGCTTTTCATTCTGGATTCCGGGGGGGATAGCCACACTGCTGAGACCACCTTACAGGTCAGGGCTATTAACAGTTCTATGTGATGGTACCCACCTCTAAGTCCTGGGAATGCGGAGGCAGGACTGTGGCAGGTTCAAGGCTGCCCTGAGCTATGTAATAAACTCAAGACTAACCTGAGAGAAATTTTTGCCGTCTCAAAAGCCAAAAAACTAAAACAGAAGGTTCTGGGAGATAATACTGGTAACATTTCTGAATTCCATCAGTACCCTCCCCCACACTGCCCAAGCAACCAAGGCATAAAACCCGTTCAATGTACATAGTCGGCTGACTCAGCAGGAAGGGGAACTAGAGTCCTAGGTGCTCCCTGAGGAACCAGCTACAACTGGTACAGTTCTGCCTACTTCAACAGCAGGGGAGAACGAGGGAACTAAGGCAGTATCTGAAACAGCTACAAATCTGTGGAGCCCAAGACCGTTCCGAGCTGGGCATGGTGTGAACACCAACTCAGCTCCCGAGAGGCTGAGGTGGCATCCCACAGTCCAGGTCAGCCTGCAGTACAGAGTTCTTGTCTCAGAACCCAAGGGTGAAGATGAGGCTCACTAGGAGAGGAAGCAGGGTCCTAGGTCTGATTCCCAGAATTGCAAATAGACAAAACCCAGCTCAACAAAGTCCCAGGCAACAGAACTGCTATAGCAGGCAGGCATTTCAAAATATACTGCTTCAAATGGACAACAGTCAAACTTCAGTGTATATATATACAACATACATACACACGGAAAAGGAATATGAAATTTCAAACAGCCAAAGAGAATAAGTCCCTAGTTTGCTATACAAAAAATTACATGAAACATTAGACTCTCCAGAAATACACACACACACACATTTTAAACTCAGAGACCAAGGAAAAATATTTTATATGTAAAACTGGTGTCAACAAATTAAGTTTGTTTTGTTTCCCGTTACTATGGTAAATGCCCCACCAAGCAACACATGCATGTGCACAGGCTAAGTAAAGGAAAAGCAAACGGTGGGTAGCCAGAGGGCATGGCCACTACCTGCTCTGTTTGGGAGCCTCCAATGCCCTGACAGTGACTCAGTGGGAGTATCTTGTGCCTTGCACTGTGGTTTTCTTTTTGGAGCTGAATCGTCCACCTATGCAGGGTAATTCCACTCAAACATTTTAAGTTATATTTTAAAATTAGCTGCGTAGTGCGTTTCTATAAGGCCTTTTCATACAGCTTTAGTTTGGCTTAATTCACTCCTGCCCCCTCCTCCCCATCATTCACCCACTGCTCCTGCCCCCTCCTCCCCATCATTCACCCACTGCTCCTGCCCCCTCCTCCCCTCCCCATCATTCACCCACTGCTCCTGCCCCCTCCTCCCCTTCCCATCATTCACCCACTGCTCCTGCCCCCTCCTCCCCTTCCCATCATTCACCCACTGCTCCTGCCCCCTCCTCCCCTCCCCATCATTCACCCACTGCTCCTGCCCCCTCCTCTCCTCCCCATCATTCACCCACTGCTCCTGCCCCCTCCTCCCCATCATTCACCCACTGCTCCTGCCCCCTCCTCCCCATCATTCACCCACTGCTCCTACCCCCTCCTCCCCTCCCCATCATTCACCCCCTGCTCCTGCCTTCTCCCCTCCCCATCATTCACCCACTCACTGCTCCTGCCTCCTCCCCTCCCCATCATTCACCCACTACTCCTGCCCCCTCCTCCCCTCCCCATGCTCTCCAATCTCCACTTAGTCTATTAGCCTCCAGTACACTTCTCTCTTTCGTATTTCCTGTAGTCTACTATCCCTCCACTTAGAGTTTGCAATTGGACTTTGAGATGGTAGGCTTGCACAGGCTCTTCACACACCCTTCCA